GGTTTAAAGAGGAGGGAAGTGGCAGGCAGGTGACCCTTGGGCATTGATGTGTTTCTGGATTTTTTATTCTCTTCTTTAATTCATTCTGTTAGGAATTTTGGGAAGGCTTTGTTGTCTTCTGGGTTGGGAAGATGTGGGGTTGGGCCCCTCATGGGCAGAGATCCCCAGCTCCCTGGCAAGAGTGTGAATGGATGCCATGACCAGCTGCACTGGTGCCTGGGGTAGGAGACCTGGGAGTGGAGAGCAGGAGTGAGATGGTGGTGAGAGTGCACTTAGCCTGAGGGCTCTGGAAGAAGCCCATGGAATTGGTGATTTAGAGTGCAGGTGCTCAGGGTAAGGAGGGCAGAAGAGGCGGTTTGGCATGGAGGCAGTGAGGAAGAGGAAAGACTAAAAGACACCTTGTTCACTTTTTCTGCCTCCGCATTCTGCCAGAAATCCTGGTGCAGCTTATCCATCACTTTGAGGTGCCATATCCTATAAGCATTTACTGCAGTACCACCGTATACCCATCCCTATGCTGGGCACTAGGCAGCCCAGTTATCCAGAAAGGTTTGTGCCCTGCCCTCAGGGAGCTCACTGTCTAAAAGAGGAGGAAAAGGCAACCTGTTAAAAAAAAAATTAAGTGCCTATGTGATCTATGAGAGAAATTATTATTTTCTCTTATATTAATAACCTATTATTGATTGGATCCCAGGCTTTTTCTATTTCCTCAGTTGGGGACCAGCCCTTGTAATTCAGTTATCCAGTCAGTCTCTGAAGGACATTGCTGATAGATGAGATTGTCTAAATCTTTAGGGAAAATCAGGGATGCTCCTCCATCTTGAGTGGGACTCCTTGCAAGTAGGAGACCTTACTTTGGTTTAGATGGTAAAGAGAATCTAATCCAGGTGAATTCCAGCCCTAAAGCATTAAGTCAATGCCCTTGCAACACCCCCACCTCCTCTGCATTGTGATTTAAGGTAACCTAACTCATGAAAGAAAAAACCAACCAGAGGCATCTGAGTAGAGATGGATTCCTGTGTCCAGATTTCTGGAGGTGGCTGAGTCTCATGAAAAACCTGAGTTCTCAGCAGGAGGAGCTGAAGGCTTTCAGCTCACCTCCTCATATGAAAGTCTACCCCCTCATTAATTGGTCACCAATCAAGGTTGATTTTCACCTTTCAGGGGCACCCATCCCTTTTTCAAAGGTATTTAAGCATTCAGTGACCTCCATGGTTTTGTCTTTGGTTACTAATTATCAATTCATTAATTATCAGCTAGCAGAATTAATAAGTTGATTATTAATTACCCTGAAACTTTTTCTTGGACTTTTCATTCATCTCACCTATGAAGGTGAGTATCTTAGGGAAGTATCTTAGAAGGGAAGAAGGCCCTAACTTCTAGGGGACACCTGGACAATCCTCCAGCTTCTAGAAGGTGGTACTGAAATGGAAACATGAAGGAAGGCAGACAATGACTCTAGTGCTTTTTCCATCATAACATCCTGTCGCCCATCTCCCACATTGTCACCCCTCCTCACACACCCCCAACCCTGCCAGGCCTGTACACTTGCCCTTTGGGGACTGGGGGGAGGGAACTGGAAACATTTTTTCCATCTGGAAAGGGAACGTGGTTGTCAAAGGAGTCAGAAGGGAAAGAGCCAAACTACACCCTGGACTCAGCATCCCTAGAGTGGGCTGGCTCTGGACTCCCAGGGTATGGGGGAGATGGGGATGGCTTTTGGTGTGGGAGAATTGGGAAGGTCAGGGGGAGAGAAGAAATGGGCCCCTGTAATGGCTGAGCTCAGCACATCCTTAGAGCATCCATTACATATGAACTCTGTGAAAAACCACAAGAAAGGCCTGGCAAGGAGAGCAGACCCTCCTGCACAGAGACCTTGCCCAGCAAATCCTCACCCCTAAAGGGGGAGGGTGAGAAATGGGGGTGGAAAGTGGGGATAACAGTGATCTCCATATCACATGCTAGCATCAGTCGACTATTTTGACATTTAAAACACATGCATTTTTCACTTTGTCAGTTTCCTAAAAATCCTCTTTGTACTGGCTAATATTTATTCATGGGGGGGTAAAAATATAAATATACATAAATCAAAAATTTTAAAGCCTCTCCTTCAGGCTGACATCAGTCTCCAGTGACATCATGGATTATTGGCAAGTCAGGCCTATTGTTGGGTAGGGGCAGGTCACAATTACTGAGGGAGGTCTAGAGAGGAGGCCTGAGGCCAGGCTTACATACAGCCAGGACACAGATATGACCAGAAGTCAAGGCTTCACCTGTTCACTGGCCCCAACTAATCTCAGCTGGACCTAATGTCCCTGGGAAGCCTGAGTTCCCATGGATAGCATACTCTCTTCAAGAGTGAGGTCTGCTGGTTGACCTACATTGGATACCTTGGATGGAAAGCCTTCTTCTTCTGCAATCCTTCTTAGTAGCTGAATTGGACCCAGGTTCCTGCTCCACCTGCTCCATCATGAAGGGTCCTTTTCGAAATCAGAGTAATTCAAGCCTATACTCCTATAGGCCACAGACCCAGAAAAAATATCCTAAAATCATTCTCCCAGGGATGTGTGCCCAGAGGACCCCACAAAAGGGGCCTTCAGTACCAAGATGCTGTGGGTGGTCCAACCAGCGGGCCAAGAGGATTTCCAGGAGGAGCCAGTAAAGAGGACTCCAGCAGCCACCCCTTTGGGGCGGCTCAGTGCTCACCACCCCTTCAGAAAACAGGCCGCCATCCACAGGCTGCTAGCAGCTATCGTTTTGATGAAAGAGAAGTGCCCCCAACTGCCAGTTTTCATAATTATTCTTGGGACACTTGCTGATACCAAGTCAAATACATTTCTGTATTACTCATCGTCCCACAGCTGGATCATAAGATCCTTTTTTATTCTAATGATCAAATAAAGTGATTGAAAGGGCTCTGACAGTTGGAGTGTCTTTATTGAATGAATGAATAAAACATATATTAATAACTCTGTGTGCAAAGCTAGGTTACAATCACTGGGGATACAGAGGGAAAAGTCAGTCTGCTTTGCTCTCAAAAATGTAATTCTCATTGGAGAGATGACACCAAGGGATGGTTTTAACTTCATTGCAGATGAAGAGGTCCAGTGGTCTTTAGGGCACAGCAGAAAAGAAGATGATGCTTCTTCTTTAAAGTCATTTCTACTGATTTCTTTTTTCTGAGTTGCTAACCATTTGATATTGACTAAGATTGTGGGAATCTGAACTTCCTTTACTAGGTCATCAGTGGCAGTGCCTGAACCCCCCTGCAGGAGCCGTGGCCAGGCTGCATTTTCACAGGGGTTGCTTGCCATGATGATGTCTAAGGACCCTGAGTTTCTCCTGGCCCCAGGTCCAGGTCATTCTCGATCTGGGTCTGAGGAAAGATGGTGTCAATGTGGTGGTTTTGGCCTGAACTGCTGGGCACATGCTGACTGCTCTGTCCCTCCAGGGGGGTCTCCCTGTTTCATCAGGACAGGCTTCTTCTCTGTACTGTGGGTGGCAGTTGGTGGGGATGGCAGGATTCCTCTCCATGGGAGTTGTTTCTCTAGAAGATGACTGTCATGTCTGGTCTGGAAGCTTGACAGGTGGTCTGGGGAACAGCTGCCATTCTACAGGACACTTCAGTTTATGTTTGTGTTGGTAGCGGCTTGTTAGGAGTTGTTACTGGTGATAGTTAGGAGGATCAGTTCTGCCTTTAATGTTGCCTGGTGGGAGAGGGAATGGTCTAGAATCAATCAAACGCTGTCTGTCTGACTCTGTCTGTCTGTCTCTGTCTGTCTCTCTTTCTCTCTCTGTCTCTCTCTTTGTCTCTCATCACTGAGATGGGGGGATTATCAGGGACACAAGGGTGGCTAGAAGCCAGACAGGGACAGGTGTGTTTCTGGATTTGGGTCTCCTCTTGAATTTATTCTGTTGGGAATTCTGGGAAGGCTTTGGAGGTTTTGGAAAGTGGCAGGAAGGGAGGGGGCTGGTACAGACTCTCCTGAGTGCTCATGAGCAGGTACAGAGCAGACCTGGTGCCTGACTCTAGTGTAAACAGCTTCTACTGGAGGTTGGGGAGTGCCCAAGAAGGAGACGTGGGGATGAGCGGGGGTAAAGTGTTGGAGGTGGTGGTCATTCTAAAGGTGTCCCACAAAGTGGGGGTAGGGAAAAGGTGACACACGGTGTAGGCAGGGCAGAATGGCCACCGCGAGGCGGGGGTGAATTCACTGAGGAGAAGCCTGAATACACCTTGTCTTTCATATACACTATGTAGCCCAACCTAACCATCCACCCAAACTTTGCCTGTAGTGTCTAGCCAGTGCTAGCGATCTGGGGGCTTGGGGAGTAGGAGTGGAAGTGGGGGGCTGTGATTGCTTTCTGAGGCTGAGAAATGAGCACTGAACATTCAGAAAGTGCTGGTTATGAGGGCTAATCCTCTCTCCCAATGGTTCCATTGACCATGGGGGTTCTTAAAGGGTGGGCTTGGAGGGGAGAGGAACGGGATAACCTTTGACATGTGTTTTCCAAGATTTTTTTCTGAAGAGAAGAATCCTCAATTCTCAGGCGTCTGAGAGGTCCAATCTTCCACCTGTTTCCACAGCAGAGGAGGAAAGTCCCTTCAGACCTAGAGCAGAGGATGAGGAAAATCCAGGAAGGTGGAACGTGACCAAAGCGGAGGAGGTGATTGGCTGTGAGAGCCGTTTGTTCTTACGGATCTGCCTGCCGCCCCAAACTAAGCAGAGGGGATTGGCTGAAAGGGGCAATCCTTTGAATGGGGGGCGCGGAAGAGCAGAGAAGCTGAAGTGATTGGCTGAGAGATATCCGCTTGCATAAAGCTGCCCTTTTTCTTGAAAGAGGCTTGAAGGATTGGTTACGAGGGGCCTTTTCTTCGCTTGGATGAGCCTAGCCCCCGACGCTGGAACGGCGGTGATTGGCTGAGAGGGGAGTTTATTTGCATGAGCCTGCCTAACTCCCAAACCCTGACTGCGGTGATTGGACGAGAGGGGCGTTGTTGAGCTGCTTGGTTTTACGTAAGTTTTGGCCGCTGTCGTCATGTCTCTGGTGGCGGGAGTGATTAGGCGTCTAGATGAGAAGGTGGTGAACCGCATAGCTGCGGGGGAGGTCATCCAGCGCCCTGCGAACGCCATTAAGGAGATGATTGAGAATTGGTAAATGAGGGATTGACCGGGTTCGAGCCTCGCCACAGGGGAGGGGGGGGGGGAGAAAAAATCTTGGCACTTTGCGACTCCAGTGCGCAGGCGCATTCGTGCTCCCGCGGAAACTTTGGCGCTCGGAGTTTACTTGTATGTGGTCCCTGCGGGCGCCGAGTGGTGACCTGGGCCGAGGCCTAGGGGAGGAGTAACCCCGCTCTCCATACGATCCATACACCCCACACACACCCCCTCCCCGAAAAAGCAGGGAATTTGCAAATCAGTGGATCTCTAAGCGTTTATAAAGTATTGGCCTTCCGTGTGCCGAGGAGACTTGCGCGGAAGCTGGGGGCAGTGCCTCGGTTTCCCCCTTAGAAGTTGGCTCCATCTGTGACCAGTAGAGAGGGGCAGCTGTCTGGCACCAACTGCCCATTACGTGGGGCCGCAGCGAGGCCTCGCCCAGGACTCCCCCCTGGAGTGCCCGGCAGGTGTCCGGAGCAGCTTTGGACACAACACCCCCCCCCCCGCCCCGCCTCGGTCCCCCAGCACCTGCCTGGGCTGCTGGCGAGAAGGGGTGTGTTAGAGCAAACTAGGCTTCAGCGCCCCCGTCCCCCGGCGGCGCTTCCAAAGGGGAAAGGGCACCGCAAATCCTGCCCCACTGTAGAAAGCCCAGGTGCCTCCCGCCAAGTAGCAGACTTCTGGGTCTCTTGGTGAGGGATTTCTTCAGGTTATCTTGCTTCTTTTTCATTTTAAGCTTTTATTTAGTATTTTATTTTTCCCCAGTTACATGTAGAAACCATTTATAACATTTGTTTTTTAAACAGAGTTCCAGATTCTCTCCCTTCCTACCTCCCCACTCCATCCCCCCATTCAGAAGGCAAACAGTTGGATATAGGTTATACATGTGTAGTTAGGCAAAACATATCCATAATAGTCATGTTGTGAAAGAAAACATAGACAAGGAAAAAAAACCCTCAAGAAATAGGTTATCTTTCTTTCCATTGTCTCTATCTGCCCCCTGCTCCCCTCTTACTATTGCCTGGCCAGATTTTTTTTTTTTTTCCAATTCAATAAACATTTTTTTTTTTTAGGCTTTTGAGTTTTAAATTTTTCTCCCTCTCCCTCCCCACCTCCCTCCCCAAGGTGGCTCGCAATCTGATATAGGCTATACATATACATTCCTATTGAACATATTTTCACATTAGTGATGTTGTAAGTAAGGATTAGAACCAGTAGGAGGCACCACCAGAAAGAGGAAACAACACAACAGAAGAAAAAAAATAGTGAATGGTATGCTTCAGTCTGCATTCAAACTCTGTAGTTCTTTCTGTGTATATGGATAGCATTTTCCATCATGACGGGCCAGATTTTTTAAGAAGAATGCTTATTGAAAAAATGTGTGCATGCACATATGTACATATAGATATCTTTATTAGAGCACTTTGGTTTCTGACAACATGGAGGTTGGGGAGTCAGTACAGTTTCTTATGAGGAATAGGCAAAAAACCATAAGAAAAGGAAAAAGGCTGTGAGGAGATGCCTAATAGCTAGTTTAGGACCTAATTTAGGCCTTTTCTTGAAGCGCGTGTATGTTGCTATTAGTTTCAGAAGAAAGTACTCATTTTTTTGTGACATGAAAGTCTGATTACTAAACTTGGAGAAAAATCTACTGTTCATGTTTTATGAACTATAACTGGATGTATCAGCATAGATAATGAACTTTGTTTTTTTTATTACCTGACTCAAATGTCTTTATACCAATTAGAGTTCACCTTCTCTCCTTGCCAGCTTGGATGCCAAAGCCACAAGTATCCAGGTGACCATTAAAGAGGGAGGCCTCAAACTGATTCAGATCCAAGACAATGGTACCGGAATTCGGGTAAGTAAAATTTCCCAAGATAACAATGTTTGACTTAGATCCAAAGCAAAGAGATTGAAGAAAAGATTCAGATCTTTTTGTTCTGGAAAGTGGGCTGCTGTCAGTGAAACACTTACACCAGAAAATGGGTCCATTTTAAAACTGTACAAACCAAGAATTTACTTTGGGATGAAGGCTTTTAAAAGTGTAACCCACCATCTTTAGAACTGATGATTAACAGGGCAGCTAGGTGGCGCAGTAGATAGAATACGGGCCCTGAAGTCAGGAGGACCTGAGTTCAAATGTGGCCTTGGACCAAACACTTGACACTTACTAGCTGTGTGACCCTGGGCAAGTCACTTAACCCCAATTGCCTTAAAAAAAAAGAAAAAGAAATGATGATTACCATGGTTTGTTCACCATCCTGTCCTCCCCTCCCTTTTTTTTAATCATTTAGAAAGAAGATCTGGACATTGTGTGTGAGCGATTCACTACAAGTAAGCTGCAGTCATTTGAAGATCTGGCTTGCATTTCTACCTATGGCTTTCGGGGGGAGGTAAGTTGGAAAGTAGGAGAACTTGGGGATTCTGTTGCTGCCATGATTATTCCATGTGGAGATCATTCTCTCTTTAATATTTTTCCAAAGACCCTTGAAAGAAAAAGAAAACTGTTCTGTATTATTAGGTGAATATATATAGAACACCTTTGAAATCTTGAGTCATTCAGGATGGAGGATTTGTGTAGATTCATGGAATTTCACCATGTTTGACTGTGTGCCCAAAGTACCCTGGACATCCAATTGAATGGGAGAGTAAATGGGTCTACTCCTGTTCTCTCTGTGCTGTGTTGGGGAGGAAGTTAAATTTTGATCTGAGCAGCTGCTCCCAGGTCCTTGGAGCTGGGACACAAAGGGAAGGAGAAGGGGGAGGACAAAGAGGACTCAAGGCCAGGAGTCTGAGGAGTCCTTTTGTTAAGCCTCATTTTCCTCCTCTTCAGGATGATGGGGTTGAATGAAATGTTCAGAGGCCCCTTCTCATTCTTGTGTTGGCTACTCAGCCATCTCTCTTTACAGCCATCACCTTGGCTTTAGACATGCTACTGGTCAGAATCTGTTTATGACTTTGAGCTTCATGGTAGCCCCCTCTGGAACAGGCCAAACACTTTTACTCCATTTGTGGGTTTAAAAACAAATTCTTTTTTATTATAAACTTAATAAGCATCAATATTTCCATCGAGAAAGAACACAAGTATGTATATGAAACCATGAGTCACCATTTTGTACAGCTTGTCCTTTTAAATATATATTTAATTGAACCTTACGGTACTAACCCTGCCCTGATAGGATGTGTCCCCTGCTAAATTTCCTTTGGTTGTCTTCTGTGCATTTTTGTGTTGCCTTCATGATCTTTTCTGTCACTCTTTCACTGTTCCTTCTAACAGCTTGGCCTCCCTCCTTTGCAGCATATAAATATAACCAAGCAAAATAAATTCACACAGTGTCTGTGTCTGCACCTGTACCTGCCATTCTGTAGCTGGAGTCCATCACCTGCTTGGCATGGGCAGGGATGCACCCATTGTCCTTCTGAAGTCCTGACTGGCCATTGCCTTGATCAGTGTGTTTCAGTCTTTCAGAGTTGTTCCCCATGATGTTGTTGTGGTCATTGTATACCTCATTTTCTTGGTTTTGCCCTTTTCAGTCTACGTCACTTTATACGAGCCTTCCCAGATGTCTCTGAAACTGTCCTTTTTGTCATTTCTAAGTGTGTGATAATGTTCCTTAATTTTTGTTGTTTGTTCAGCCATTCCCTGATAGATGGGCACCCCATTTGTTTTCAGTTGTTTGCTGTAACAGAGAGTAGCTCCAGTATTTTTGTACCTGTTGCTTCATTCCCTTTTGTTATTTTAAAAAAATCTCTTTGGGATATAGGCTGTGGAGTAATATTAGTGAGTCAAGAGGTCTTCATATGTGAGGGACTTTGATTCCAACCATTTCTGCCAGTGTGAACATGGAGTACTGTAAATGGGGGGAGTCACAGCAATTATGCCTCGCCTTTTAAAATCTCAGCTCCCGAAATGTGATGTGGACAGACACATCTGGAAAGGCATGTTTTATGATAAAAGCAGAACCAGAAGACTGGAGAATGGGCTGATTGCACACATAGATGAGGAAAAGTGAATGAGGATGAATGGGCAGAAATGTCAAGATTTGCTAAACAGGTTTCACTGGCTTCATTGACGTTTGGGGTAAAGCTTTTGTTAAAGTATTTTTTAAACCTCGGAATATGTTAAAAGACATAATCTGATAAAAATTAGCCTAATTATATGACATGATCATGGGAATCTATCAAAGACCCCTTTACCTCTGGAGCCTCTGTACTGTCCCATCTGAATTACATGGGTCAGAGCCACAGAATCGTGGGGTTGGGTGGAGTCCCTGGGCTTCCTTAGCCCCAGAGTCTCTGAAAATGAATCCTTCTGCAGGATACCAAACAGCACATAGGGCCCCCTTAGCTTGAAGGCCTTGGGCACACTTACCACGCTGGGTGGAGCCTCAGATTGCATCTCTGTGTGTTAGGAGGTCCTCTCTCCTTGGTGAAAAGTTAACCCCGAAGGACCTGGGTGCTAGTCCTGGCCTGGGAGCCAGACAGGCCTTCTTGGTTGGTAGTTTTTAGGCGGGGCCTCATTGGGCAATTCTGCACTCAGATGAACAGGGTCTGTTTAAAATGGAAGGTTTATTTTGAATTTTAATATTTCTGAGTGTAGGTTCTCCTCTTTAAAACTCGTCCCCGGGGCAGCTAGGTGGCACAGTGGATAGAGCACTGGCCCTGAAGTCAGAAGGACCTGAGTTCAAATCCAGCCTCAGACATATAACACTTACTAGCTGTGTGACCCTGGGCAAGTCACTTAACCCCAATTGCCTAAAAATAAAAAAAAAAATAAAAATAAAAAATAAAACTTGTCCTCCTTTGTTACAGGTAAGGGGAGGGGAGGCAGACCCATTTCTCATATAGGGGGCTCAAACACCTAGGTGCAACTTCCTCACCCTGGGTAATCGCCTAGGAACCCAGGCCGTCCTCCTGTTCTGCCCTTAGGCCTTGGCACATGAAGATGTTCAGTGTGGCTGGCCTAGCACAGCCTAAAGGGCCCTTGTGGTCCTTTGGTCACCAGAAAATCTTGGTGAAGTGCTTTGCAACCTTTCAGAATACAGAGGTGCTGACGCTGAGCATTTTGTTGTGATTGTGGAGCAGGGACGGTCCTGACTGCAGACACCAGCGTCTTTGGCTTTCTCATGTTAGAGACACTTCACAGAAATGATCTCAGCACCACCCTGATTTAAGTGACCCTTGCCAGGCCCTCGATTAGTGAAGGGCAAAGCCTGGACCCCCATGCAGGCTGGAGGAGGAGTGGGCAGAGAGAGAGCAGAGAAGGGAGTAGTGCAGAGCTGCTGAGCCCCCAGCCAAGAGGAGGCCCAGAGGGTGCAGCGGTGTGCCCGAGGTGGTCAGTGGCAGGGCAGTGGAGCTTGCTGTCAGACATTTTTCTTTTTCTCCTGCAGGCCTTGGCTAGCATAAGCCACGTGGCTCACGTGACTGTGACGACAAAGACAGCGGATGCCAAGTGTGCGTACAGGTACGTATTCCCAGGCAGGGGCTGGAGTTCGTACCTCTTTCTTACCATATCTGCTCTCCGGGCTGTTTAGAAGCCCTTATAAGGTGTATCAAGAGCCCTGTGTCTCTTTGCCTGGACCCGCTGGGGATGGCCACATCTGATTGGGTGTGTCCTTTCTTGGGATTACCCTCACTGCCCTGTCCATCCCAAGGCCATGGCCTCCACACTGTTTTCAGGCATCGGTGAGGATTTTCACTGACTCGTTGGCCTTCTCTTGCCCAACTCCTTGGGTCCTGCTCACAGGTGCTTGGAAGCCAGCTGGCATGTAGCAGGTGCTGCCTAAGTGCTCGTTAACTGACCTTACCCTTATTGGCTTTGGCTCTGACTGCCTGAGCTAACTGAGCACCAACCCTGTGATGTGGGATTTGAGCAGGAATACCTCCATTTGGGAATCCAAACAGTAGATTGTGTTCATATCATATCTGTGCATTATCTTTATGTCTTGGAGTGGCTCAACAAAGCCAATTCTATCCTGCCTTGTTGTTTTTCACTTGTTTTGTATTCCGTAATACTTGAGAGTCTAAGTCTCCTGAGGGCAGGGACAGTTGTCATTTGTCTCTGTATCCTTAGCATCTAGCACAGCTGCTTGTGGGGGGAGAACCCAGTATTAATGGAGCACTTACCACATGCCAGACATTCTGCTAAGCACTGTACAGATAAGCTCTCATTTGCACGTATTAGGTACTTAAGAAATGTTTGTTGAATTGACTTACACTTTGGGTTGTAATTATTTTCCAGCAGGCAGGTATCTGAAGTCTTTTTTTTTTCTTTTTTATTACTAAAACTTAAATATACAAGAAGAAAAGAAGAAAATATTATTAACTTAAACATTGAAACAAATACAAAATAAGAAAAGAAAAAAGCATGTCATGTGCGCAGCAGAACGTAAGAGAGGATTCAAAATGTATAGCAATAAATTTGTGTTCTGAGAAAGCCTATATAATAAATACTGCGAGTTGTGTTGAGAGCTGTCCATCTTATTTTTGCTTCCTTGTAAGTTTTCTTTTGTTCTCTGCTGCATGCTTTATACTTTGTTCTTTTTTCCCTCCTTCCTCTCTCCCTGAACGCTCCAATTAAGCACAGATATATTTATACGTAGATATATACATATAAAATACATATATACGTACATATGTAGATATATCCTTTACCTAACAAATTCTATTTCTGATCTTTGTTTTTATATTTCTGCATAGCTCTTATTTCCTGTCCCTCCTAACTCCTCTACTTCTACCCACTCCCTTGCCCTACCCACTCCCTTGTCCTCCTATCACTTAATCTCCCCTCCCTCCCTTATCCTCCCACTCCCATGAATCTAAATGCCCTTCTATACCCGCCTTTGACCTATTCCCTCACTCTCCCCTCTGGAGATTCCTCCCTTATCCCCTTCCCTCTCCCTACCCCCTTGGCATTTTATTTCTTTCTGGATTTGGAAGACTTTTATACTCTTCTAGATGTGTATGAATTATTCCCTCTAGAACTCATTCACAATGAAAGTAGGTTCCCAGAACTAACAGCCCTCCTCCTCCATCTAATTCCTCTGCCTCAGTTCTTCTCTCGCACCGCTTTTGTATAAGATAATTACTCTTTTTAACTGCTCCTAGATGGTTTTACTTTTTAAAGTCATATCATACTCAAGTCTATCCCAGTCTTTACGAAATACCTGATTACTAATAACATAATCTTAGATATATGTTTTACATTTTACATACATAAATGGTAAAAAGTCTGTCTCTTTTGTAATTAGTCTTTGGTATGTACCGTATATTTTTCTTGGCTCTTATATGTCAAATCTTCTAGTAAGTTCAGGTTTTTTTTTTGTTTTCTTTTTTTAACAAAGTCCTAAAAGTCTGACAATTCATTAAATGTTTATTTTTTTTTTCCATTCAGGATTATGCTTAGCTTTGCTGGGTTTGATATTTTTGGCCAGAAGCCCAGTTTTTTGTTTTTTGGTTTTTTTTTTTGGCTAGGCAGTGGGTTAAGTGACTTGCCCAGGGTCACACAGCTAGTGAGTGTCAAGTGTCTGAGGTCAGATTTGAACTCAGGTCATCCTGACTCCAGGGCCAGTGCTCTATCTACTGCGCTACCCAGCTGCCCCTAGAAGCCCAGTTCTTGTGCTCTTCAATTATATAGTGTTCTAAGACTGCAGACTTTTAATGTCACCACTGCTAGGTTTTGTGTGATTCTGATTGTGCCATATTTAAATTGTTTTTTTCTTGTTGCTTGTAATACTTTATTCTTGAGTTAGGGTTTTAGAATTTAACTGTAATATTCCTGTGGGTTTTCCTTGTAGGATCTCTTTCAAGTGGTGGTGATTTTTTCTATTTCTACCTTTCCCTCTTGTTCTAATGCTTCAGTACAATTTTCTTTAATTATTTCTTGTATTATTGTATCAAGATTCTTTTTTGATCATAGCGTTCACGTAGTCCGATTATTCTTAGATTTTCTCTTCTTGATCTGTTCTCCAGATCAGTTGTTTTTCTTATGAGATGTTTCAATTCTCTTCAATTGTTTCATTCTTTATATTTTGTTTTATTATTTCTTGGTCTCTTTTAACTTCTCTGGCCCTTCCCCAATTCTGATTTTTATTTTCTTCCTTAAGATTCTGGATCTCCTTTTCTAATTGCTTGGCTATCTTTTCATAGTCTTGTTTTTCTTGGATTGGTCTTTTTTTTTTCCTTAGTTTTTCCTCAGTCTCTCTCATTTGATTTTAAAAGTCTTTTTTAAGTTGTTCTATGAATTCTTTTTGGGCAGGTGACCATTTGATGTCACTCTTTGGGGTAGAAGAGGGTTTCTTTGCTTCAATATCCTCCCCTGAAGATGAGCGTTGGTCTTCTCTATTGCCATAGTAAATTCTGTGGTTGGATTCTTCTTTGCCTCTGCATTTTTTTTTTTTTGTTTATTTGTAGTAGCGTGGTTTTTGTAATCACCTCTAGTCCCGGGGTATGAGCCTCAGATCCTCCTTCAGTTTTCCTCTCTGGCCTAGAACCTAGACCAAGACCTCCAGCCCCCGGTAAGTGCCCGCAGCCAGCGGTGTCCCGCCCCGCAGCCAGCGGTGTCCCGCCCCACAGCCTCTGCCCTCACTAGGCGTGTGTTAGTTTCTCCTCGCTCCTGGCTGTGCCTCTGCAGCCCAGCTGGGCCTGGCATTCCTTGTCAGCAGAAGTTCCCTGGATATCCCTTCCCAGATGCCCAACACCCCTCATTGTCCCGGGGGAAAAAGTTCCTGTGGCTGGGTCGGAGGCAGCCTTCCAACCCAGCGCACCCCAGGGCTGGCCGCTTGTCGTTTAAGGGGACCCTCGCCTGGAGGTGTTTGCTGTTCACACGGACCTGTCCTGGGATTTTTCTTCATGTCTTCTCTGGTTGTCCCAGGAAGACCCCTGTTCTGCCCCTGTTCTTATTTATTTTTACTGCTCAGTATTCACCCTGAGGCGCTACTTCATCTCTTTTGTGGGGGAAAATCTTGAGAGCTTGGAATTTCCTGAGCTACTCCACCATCTTCCTAGAATCCTCTGTATCTGAAGTCTTTAAGATGAAGTTTTAGTTGTTTGGGTTTGGTTTTGTTGAGGATGGAACATCTTAAAAATGTAGAGGCTGGAGGAGTTGCTTGGATATAAATGAGACATCCCTGGCACGAAGTCTCTGTTCAGTCAGCATTTGGTATTTGCCATGTGCTCAGTGCTGGGGGGACGAAGGGGATGTTCCTTCATCCAGTCAGACTTGGGACAGATTTCCATGGCTGCACCTCAGTCCTTGGCCCTTGGGCACAAGGAACCCTGGGGGGATGTGATGGCAGAGAGATGCTGGTGTAGGTCAGAATGGGGAATAGAAAGCACTTTTTCTGGGGGAGGGAAGGACACTGAGTGACATCCTGTGGGCAGCACGATGCCCATCCTGCCAGGCGCTCAGGAAGATTGTTCTCTTTTCAGAACGAGCTACTCAGACGGAAAACTCAAAGCGCCTCCTAAGCCGTGTGCAGGAAACCAGGGGACGCAGATCACGGTAAGGCCGGAGCTTGGGAGTGGGTGGTGGCTGTGTCCTAGGCAGGGTGCCGGGTGGTCTAGAGGCTGCTGTCGCCCTGAACTCACCTACCAAGGTGTGGCAGGCCCAAGGTTCAAGGAGCGACCACTTGGGGGAATGGGGGTTGGGCGGTTCCTGGGATGTCTGAAGTTGGAGTGGGGAGGGGGAGGGGCGTCTAGGAGTGCTTCATTGTGCCCTTATTTCTGTGGTGCCCCGGCTAGTAGAGACCCAATTCTAGAAGCTATATCCCTGGCCTCTGTCGCGGACAGAGCAGTAGGTTTGAGGACAGAGATCCAGCCCTGCCACTTGTGTGACTTTGAGATAGTTGCTTGACCTCTCTGGGCTTCAGTGTCCTCCTCCATACTATTTACGTTTGGACTAGGTGATCTCCCTTTGGTCTGTAAGAGCAGTAGAACTAAGTCAGATTTATGAGAATACAAGTCATTCCCCAATTGATAAGTGGTCAGGATATGAACAGACAGTTCTCAGATGAAGAAATTAAAGTCATCTATAGCCATATGAAAAAATGCTCTAAATTACTATTGATTAGAGACATGCAAATCAAAACAACTCTGAGGTACCTCATCACACCTATCAAGTTGGCCAACATGACAAAACAGGAAAATGATAAATGTTGGAGAAGATGTGGGAAAATGGAACACTAATGCATTGTTGGTGGAGTTGTGAACTGATCCACCCATTGTGGAGAGCAATTTGGAACTATGCCCAAAGGGCTGTAAAACTGCATACCCTTTGACCCAGCAATAGCACTTCTAGGTCTGTATCCCAAAGAGATCATAAAAATTGGAAAAGGACCCACATGTACAAAAATATTTATAGCAGCTCTTTCTGTATTGGCCAAGAATTGGTGCCCATTAATTGGGGAATGGCCGGACAAGTCGTGGTATATGGTAATGGAATATCACTGTGCTGTAAGAAATGATGAGCAGGATGCTCTCAGAAAATCCTGGACTTAGCCTAGCTGATGCTGAGTGAAGTGAGCAGAACCTGGAGAACACTACACAGGTAACAGCATTGTTGTAGCGGTGATAGTCTCGGCAACACAGTGATCCAAGAGAGGTCCAAAGGACTTAGGATGAAGAGTTCTGTCTGCCTGCAAAGAAAGAACTAACATGTCTGAGTGCAGAGCGAAGCAGACTTGATTTTTACTTTATTTTTCTTGGTCTTCTCAAGGAGGGGAGGGAGAGAATTTGGAACTCATAATTTTAAAAATTTTTAAAAAGAATGTTAAAAATGACCAAGACAGTGTGGTGCAAGAGGAAGCACATGGGGATCAGAATCAGAGGACATGACTTCCAGTCTCAGCCCGACACTTATTCCATGTGTGACCTTGGGCACCGTCCTCCCTCTCTGTGCCTTCCTTAGCCACAAAAGGGGGAGGGGACTAGGTGTCCCCTAACAAAGGTGCCTACTGGCTCAATCCCAGTGCTTCTTACCTGAGGTCCATGAACTTAGTTTTTAAAAATATTTTGATACCTGTATTTCAGTGTAATTGATTTCTTTTGTAATCTTATGTGTTTTACTTAAGCATTTAAAAGCATGATTCGGAGAAGGGGTCCTTAGGCTCACTGGACTGCCAAGGGGTCCCTCACACACAATGTTTAGGAACCTGGTCTGCACCAGAGCTAAGTAAACAGGTCCTTCTGGTTTTTCCTCCAGAGTCTCCCAACCTTTCTCAAGTAGGTTTGGGATGAGAGGACATCTTTTCCACTGGAGAGAACTTGGCAGCTTTTTGTGAGGTTGGCTTTGGGGTTAGCCCTGCAGCCTACTGCTTCCCCTATTGTCATCAGCTGTGTTTGTTAAACTGGGATCAAAACAAGTTTGAGCCTTGGAACTGCCCCTTTTAGTGTGGCATGTTTAACGATTCATTTATGATCATAGAAACAAGACAAACACTTCTGATTGTATAAAATTAGAAAGGTTTTGCACAAACAAATCTGATGCAGTTAGGAGGGAAACAGGTAACTGGAGGAAAAATTCTTTGGTAGTAAGTTTCTCAGATGAAGGTCTTGCATGCAGACATACTTAGATCTTCTATCTCAACACGCTAAATGTGGACTTTAGGGGTGGTAGTATTGGATGTATGAAAGGGGACAAAGGAATGCAAGGAGGCTGCCCTCCTTGAGGGTTTGATGAGTCAAGGTATTGCTGAAATAAGGGGAATTGGAAGACATTCAAGGCCAGAGTGGACTTGAGGGCAAATGTAAGAACTGGCTCAAATTTATAAGACTTTAAGAGCTGTTGCCCAGTTGATAAGTGGTCAAAGGATGTGAACAGGCAGTTCACAAAGGAAGACTGTTCAAGCTTAACTTTCTAGAGAAAAACAACTTTGATAGACTTTAGAACTCTGATGAATGTAATCAAACCAAAAGTCCCAAGGGCTGACAATGAATCATGTTACCCACCTCCTGCCAGCAAGGTGATGGACTTAAAATCCAAACTGAGGCGTGCATCTTTGATGTGGCCAGTGCGGGCATTTTTTTTGCTGGGTTTCGTGTGTTTCTTAGGAGAGTTTATGGGGTGTTTTTTTTTTTTTCATTCTTTTGGTGTGGTTAGGGGGGATGATTGGAGGGAGAGATAAATACTTGTAAAATTAAACCAAAAAAGTACAATTCCTATGTTTACTTTTCAGTTTGGGGGGCTAGCTCCTATGGCCAAGGCAGATTTACTGGTCTCCGACATATAAGAGGATGGTGAGAATGTGTTGGAGTGAGAGTAGTTTAATGATGAGGAACAGATTTGCCTTCCCATCCTCTTTCATCCACCCAGTGCTCCTACCCCTAAAATCCACATGTAGCGTGTTTGGCTCCAGATGGGAAGAATCAGTCTGCAGTCCTGTCATCTTTGATTGCTTTTGATTGTTTGATTGATAACCCGTTGATCTCTCTCTGTTTCAGGTTGAAGACCTTTTTTACAACATAGCCACAAGGAGGAAAGCTTTAAAAAATCCCAGTGAAGAGTATGGGAAAATCTTAGAAGTTGTTGGCAGGTAAGGCCCCACCCCATCTGGGCGATGGCAGCCAAAGGCAACAGGGCGCTCTGAATTGTCCTGGGGGGTAATTAGCCTTCGTTCCTGCCCCGAGCTTTCCCTAGGTTAGAACAGAGCCAGTGAGTGTATGGGCTCCTCCTGAGCACACGGATCATGGGGTCATGTGGGCAAGGTCTTGGATGTCATTTTTCACAGACAGGGAAACTGAGGCACACAGGATCATATGGGAAGTAAAAGACAGGGCCAGGCTTACGTCTGGGCTTGATCTGCCACCCCCTCAGCTGTGTCCCCCATGACTAATTTGGGGCAGTGGGTGGGTGAGGAATATAAAAAAAGCACCTCACACACCAGGCTGCATTTATGAGCATCTGCTGCGGGCAGTGTGCTTGGCCCATCTGAGGGGGCGCCTCAGTATTTAGGCTGCTCATTTCCATGCCTTTGTTCAATTAAAATGAGCTTTCTTTAGAACTGATTCTAAGGACATGGTTAGGTGCTCTTGGTCATGTTAGAAAAATCTGAAACAAAAATCTACTACAGTGAGCGAGTGAAGGAAAGCCTTTATTACACTTCTCACAAGAGAAGTGGGCACAATGCACTTTAGTAGCACGTGGGCACTGCTTCAGTGGTAGAATCAACTTTTAAACCATTAATAAGGTCCAAACGCCACCCCTCAGGGCTACTATTGGTGTGGTTTATCTGAGTTATACCCTTCTTGGATAGCCCATTGCATGTTTGTCCATGTTCTTCCTTGTCATGTTAGGTCGTGCGTCCCATGATCAAAAATGGCAGCTATCTCTGCCCTTGGGGTGTGTCAGTTAATATTCAATAAGCTTTTCAAGCAAGCTCAGTGGAGAAAAGCTTTTGCTCTGTCCAGGTCTCGTCCTTGACCCCAACAAGTTGCAACCGCTTTGGCCTCCAGGGCTCGCTCTTAAGGAACTAGTTGTTTGCTATACTTTGTGATTGGTTGAGGGACTATCCACAAGATCTTGGAATTTCTTATCCTGCTGTGGAAGTCCAACCCTCTAAAATCTTTCTTACAGTCACGACTGTTGTTTCTCTCTCCAGGTATTCAATACACAATTCTGGCATCAGTTTCTCAGTTAAAAAGGTGCGTAGCCAATTTGGGGGGAGGTGATAGCTTATGAAAATAAAGGTTTTAAGTGGTTCGATAAAGATGAGAATGTTCTGGTTGTGTTTCTACTTCTTGAGATTTAAATTTAACTCCCAGGGAGAAGAATTCCTTTTCTCTCCTGAACTAGAAATTGCAAATCAAATGATGCAGAGGGTCCCCCAGCAAGGCAAGGCACCAGGAGAGCTTGGCCCTTTCTCAGTTCGACTTTCCGTTTGAATTTGAACTTTCCAAAAGGGTAAGGGTTAACAATGGCAGTCTTTTCTGTTTTCTTCTCCTTAAACTGCTGGCTTCTTGTTCCCTGGCCTCCATGTCCTGAGATCTGGTTCTCAGCCTCTGCTGAGGCCTCAGTGAAGGAGGCCCAGCTGGCACCACGGGGCCCTGAAGCCTTCCCTTACTGGAGCTTATTCGTGGCTGTCTGCAGCTTCCCCTTGTCGACCTTATTCTGGTCTTCTAGAGCCAAAGTCTCGGCCTTCTTCCACAATGGAGACCAGCTCTCCTGCCTCCGCTAGGCTGTGTCTCCCCCAGTCCCTGCCAGGCATTATTCCAAGCTTAACCCACATCAAAGAAAACCAGCGTTTCCATTTTTTTTTTAAAGAGTTTAATCACTTAATGAGGATAGAAGAGAAAAGATTGACTGATATTCATTTCCAGTCAACCACATAGTTACCCCCTGGGACTGAGGATTCTTGACCCTGGGGTGTGCAGGAATCTTGTTCAAGTAGGAAATCCAACTCCTTCCTGGTCAAAGTTCACTGTTGAGAAAGCCTGTGAACCTTTTGTCCTCCATGTACGTTATAGTCTCCCTAGAGAAAGAAGTGACCATGAGTACAATTGCTAGTTTGATATTACTGGTTGCAATGGTGATTGACTGGTCTCCATGGGGCTTGCAGTCTTGAGTTATACACCCTTATTCTAACTCAGTAGTAGGCATGTGCATGTTGCATAGAACAATCTCTCACAGGAGTTCTTAATCTGAACTTAGTCTTTTAATATTTTGAAAACTACTTGAATGTAATTGGTTTATGTTATAATCCTATGTATTTCATTTTATGCACTTAAAAACGTTATTTGGAGGAGTCTATAGGCTTAGTCATACTGCTAAAAGTGTTAAGGCTTAGGGGTGCTGGGACCCCGAAATAACGATATACAGGTCATGCCCGAATGAATTCAACCCAAGTCTTCTTTCCCCCAAAGACAGGGTTTATTAGAACACTAATTGGGCTGAGCAAGATTCCTAGTGAGTCTGCACTACTGGCCATATTTTAAGAATCTGAGCCCCTTAATGGAGGGGAGATGGATGTTATATACAGAAAGACTATGGGAGGGATCTAGGAGTGGCCAAGTAGTCTCAGGTGACTCTCTGGTAACAGAGGAGGACCAGGTACCATGTGGCCTAGGGAGACTGGGATCTAGATAGGATCTGGGAGGGTTGGTCTAGGGTGGGGCCAGGTGCAGACTAGGAAAGGGCAGTTAAGTAGCCGGGAAGGGTGATGCTAGGCCAGTTAAGAGGATTACTGGGATGGTGCCTCAGGTGAAGGCCAGAGACTTGACCACTTGGGAAAAGGAGAAAACTCAAGGAAAGCTCAGGATGGGGTTTCCAGGGCCTATACCCCATCATTCCCCCCTCAAGTAAATGGGACCTAGGTTCTTTTGGGGTAAGAGGCGAAGGTCTCAGCTTCTGAAACTGCTTCCTGCTGGCTAGGGCGTAGAGCTGTCCCTGCCTTGAGGGGGTCCCAAAGAGGAGGTTGACTGGAACCAAGCACAGGCTGCATCCAGGGAACAATGTGGGGGGGGACATTGGCTGGTACCCACTGTTTGCTACCAACTGTAGGTGAGTGGCCTGTAGTCTGGAAGACACAAATCTGACAAGCAAAATTGCAGGGTCCAAATATGGGAGAAGTAAGAGTGCAAGAGCCCCATTAAAATCATTTACATTTGACCTGCAGGATTATTGAGATCTTGTTACTTTCTCTAAAGTTTAAGTAACACTTTTGCAGGTAGAAGTTTTCCACCCCTGGGTTCAGTAGTTACACAAATGAATTTGCCAGAAACTGAATTTTATTTCAAGTATAACAAAAGACTTGAGAGGATACTTAAGTAATGATTAGGCCAAATAGGTTACCTCCCTCTGAGAATTGACTGCACTGAAATTCTCCTCCCCAAACCAAACTGAAGATGTTTCTGATTTAATTTCAGTTGTTTGGGATATGGAATGCCTACACATTCAGGTTAAAACAGCAAGATCTTACACACTTGCATTGTGCTTACATCTTTTACTGGCCACTTGCTCTGATTTTAGAAATTGCTACAGCAGGGACAAGTTTTAGGGCCCAAATATAACAGGATAAAACATCCTTAGCTCTGTTTGAATTCAGTAATTCACAGTTTCCAACCATGCAGTATCAAACCCACTTCATAGCCAGACTCAGGAATAGCCAGGTGGGTAATATTCCTTTTCAAAGGAACATAATGGGGTAACTGAGCCAGAAGGATCCCATCTTAGACTCAGGTTAAAATTGTCCTCTCAGCTTTTCCCAGAGGCAGACCTCCCACCTGTATAACATTCTCTCTGAGTAGCTTGTGGCATTTCTCTCAGATGGTGGATTATTGATTATCGACAGATTATTATGATCCATCAGACAACTCAAAATCAGTTATAATCCCAAGGGTTTTTACCTCAAACAACAAGTTTCACTGATCACAGTTTAGAGAAAAATCTTTCCAGGATTTATATTTCAAATTTAAATTTGTCCTGATGTAAAAACCAATCGTTAGAGATTTTTTCTATATACTTGCTAGTTCTCAGCAAGCCAAGTTCATTGTTTCGGAACTCCATAACCCAAACAAGCTTTTTGGCAAGTTTACACATTAAAAAAATAGCAATCTTACAATTTTCCTAAATGATAGCCAAATTGTTTTAGCTGTAACCAAATTATGAAAAGTCATTTGACATAACTGATAGAAAAGTTTACCAATTTGAAACTTGAAACAAACCCATTACCAATCAGATGACTTCATTTTTGTTGAACACATTTCCAAATTACTTTACACAGAGAATCGGCATCTCATCATTAACGTGTTAAAACTACAATTTTAAAAGAGTGGGCTTACCCAAGTTCTGAGGCTGGCTGGCTTCTTTACCTTGATCCATCTCCCTCCCCTCTCTCGCAGGGCTGCTGGGGGTTGAGGTGGGGGGAGGGGATGAGAAGGATGTGCTGAACCTGGGCGATGCTTCCAGGCAAAGGTTGCCCCAGGGCCCAAGGCCATTGCCAGGGGGGCCCATGCTGTAGCTGCTGCCTCTCCCCACTTCCTTTCACCAGGTGGGGGAGGGGTGAAACTCTCTTCTCCTAGTCAGATCTGGGGTGAGAGGAGTTAACAGAAAAAACCTGGGGCTGTTTGCAGACAGCACTGAGATACCCTCTTGACTCAAGGGAAGGAAGTTGGGGAAGGGAATGACCAGGGTTTTAAAGAGGTATTTCAAAACTCCTTAATGATCAATCACAAAACCTCCACAATCTGCTAGGATGTTTTTAGCTATTCTAACTTTTCCTTGTAGTGTCCATGAAGGAGGATCCAGGGGTGTAGAGGGAAGGGAGTAAGTAAGCCTCAGGGAAGCAAAAAGCACCTGCGGTTTTCCCAATTCCCTAGCACTGAGAGAATTGACAGAATTGGGTATATACTTCTGGATAGGGAGTCTGTCGATGGCCTCACAACTGAACCGGGAGCCTGAGAGGGTCAGGCCTGAGTATGAGACAGCCTCTGTCTGCCTGAAAAACATGTCCAAGCCTTCCTAGGTGCTTGGAGAGCGACCCCAACTGCGGGGAGAGAGGGGAGGCTTACATATCTCCCAGTTGTGGCTGGAGAAGAGCTTGGGGTTAGGCAGTTTCCCTGTATGGACCACCAAAATGTTGAGGTTAAGGGGTGCTGGGACCCTGAAATAGTGGTACACGGGTCCTGCCCAAATGAATTTGACACGAGCCCTCTTTCACTCAAAGACAAGGTGTATTAGAACACCAATTAGGATGAGTGAGATTCCTAGCAAGTCTGCACTATTGGCCAGATTTAAGAATCTGGAGCGTTTCCATTTCTAAAGTAAAATGGAAAAAAGATTGAATGTGGAACTGCAAGTCTCGGTTAGAAACAGCTTTCTTTTCCTTTTATGGTAAATCAGTTAAGTTTCTTTTTTCTTACCTTGCTTTCTTCTTGTTAAGCCTGTTACTTTCTCCCAGCTCCTCCAACCCTCCATTAGTTGAAAGAAAGCAGAAGTCTTGTAGCAGACGTGCGTGGTCAGCCAAAAAAACGCAGCTGTGTGGGCCAAGCTATGGCCCTTTGGTCTCCTGCTGCACCTTGAGATCGTCACCGCTCTGCCCGAGCTGGGGAGGGGTGTTTGTCACCACCTCCGGTCTTCTGCTCTTGGGCTTGGCCGTGGCGGGAGACGATGTCCTGACCCTCTCAGAGTTGTTGGTCTTTTCTGTGTGGTTGTCTCTGTTCTCTGGCCCAGCTCAGTTCCCTCTGTATCACGTCACCTGCATCTCCCCGCATCTCCCCGTTTGTCTGAAACCATCCCCGATCACTTCCTGCAGCGCAGTAGTGCTCATTGTACTAATACGCCTGCCTCCCCCTTAGTTTCCAGTTTCTTCTCACCACAAACCAAGCTGGACACTGGGGTCCTTCCTTTGTTCTCTCTGAGATGGGAGCCCGCCAGTGCCAGTGCCGGCTCAGAGGGTCAAGGCCAGGCCTAGGGATGTTCCAGATGGGCTGGACAACAATTTTTCTCGTTTCTCACTTTGGTCAGTCTCTGATGGAGATGAGGTGAAACTTCTGTGGTTTTTATTTACGTTTCTCTAATTATTAGTGATTTGGGGCATTTTCACATATCTGTGGATAGCTTGGATTTTTCCTTTGATAACTGCCTGTTCACCCCCTTTGGCCTTTTGTCCATTGGGGAATCCTTGGGTGGCTTCATCCCGGCTGCCCTCCTGTGGACCTGTTCTAGCTTGTTATCCTTCCTAAGAGGCGAAAGACAGAATGGAGTATTGATAATAGTCACAATGACTGATTCTCTCAAAGTTGTCCTTAAAACAGCGTTGCTGTAACTGTATCCAGTGGTCTCTTGGTTCTGCTCATTTCACTCTTCATTATTTCGGGCAAGTCTTTCCATGCTTTTCTAAGGTCATTATTAATTGAAATTGAACTTGCTATGGTTTGATCAGAATGCAGTATGGTGGGGGCTTCACCTACCTTGTTCTGGACACTGTGTCCTTCTTTGTGCAGAATTATAAAGAAGTATTTTGCCAAATCTGAATATATTACATATGTAGCAATTCCTTGGTCTGCCAGCCTAGTAACCCTGTCTGAAAGGATATGGATGTAGTCTGGCATGACCTGTTTTTGAAGAAATCATGCTGCTTTTAGTGATGAATGTTCTTTCTCTAAATGCTTATGAACCATTCTTTAAACTGTGGCCTCAAATTCAAATAGAATTGGATCCCTACTGGCCGCACACTGACTTAGTGACCACAAATTAATATTGTTTATGTGTTACTATATTTTTGTTTATTGAACATTCCCCAATGACATTTTCATCTGGTTCCCTGGGATTTTTGGAGGCAGCAAGTTTGACACCTGCCTTTAAAAAATATGTTCTAGAGCTTCAAAATGAGCCATATTCTTTACTCATTACACTAATTCATAAACAAATACAAGGGATAGAAAATGTACGAGTATATTGTGGTAGGCTGGGGAAAGGGGGTAGCATCATCTTTTAAAATCAAAACCTCTTGTTATTGTCCCTTTCAGACAAGAAGCTAAAAGAAACAAATAACTTGTATTTAACATTAAGAGAAAAGCTGTGTTGTAGAATTTTCCCAGGCAAGCTCACCAGCCTGTGTAGCTTGGAAGCTTTCTGCTTCCCTTTTTAGAAGATAGAAACAATATTTACCTGTTTCCCATCTCCTGTTTTGTAAGATTTTTCACAGGGACTTAGCAACGATATCTCTCAGTTCTTTTAGCACCTGGGATAGGGGTCACCTGGGCCAGATGACTTTGTAAGTAGGATTTCTCTTACCATCTCTCTCATCTTAGATTTCAACATGCTGTTAATTTCTATTATATTCTTCCCAGTGTAAAGATCATTGGCATTTCCTTGGTACAAGAAATAATCAAAATCTCTCCATCAGCTGTGATCACTGCCCTGTAACAAGCCACAACCAACAGTACTATTCCTTCTTTAAATTACCTCTTATTCCAACAGAACTAGAAATCCTTTGTATATAAAGACCAGAAAGCCCTTAAAAGATTATGCCAGGGGTAGCTAGGCGGCACAGTGGATAGAGCACCAGCCCTGGAGTCAGGAGAACCCAAGTTCAAATCTGGCCTCAGACACATAACACTTACTATCTGTGTGACCCTGGGCAAGTCACTTAACCCCAACTGCCTCGCCAAAAAAGAAAAAAAAAAAAGATTATGCCATTTTTTTGGTAAACCATCTTCAGCTCTTATTTCCAGGTTATATAGATATTGCTTTTTTTAAAAAAAATCTGTCTCTTGAGACAGCTCACGTTGTATTCTATATCGGTATTATTTACATCATCAGGATGTCATCTCAAGACCTTGCATCCCTTTTTGTCCAACTTCTTCTGTAGAAATCTAGAACATGGATATTTTTGTTCCTTTTTCTGCCCTTTGAAACACAGTCCCCAAAGGGTAAGAAGTGCCTACTGTCCGCTTGTGCTTAGTTTTCCTCTCTTTCTACAGTCCAGTAATTTCTGCTTGAGTGGCCATTTGCTTCTTATTGATTGGAATCAGGGCCAGTTATCACTTCTCTGATTCCCTTGCTTCACCTACCTTTTGGAAAAGGAAATCATCTTTATGGCAAGTCAGTAATCTGCCCACTCTGCAGAGGGGCAGTGACAGCAAATGTCTGAACAGTCAGAGCCCCCCATCACTGCTCTTTCCTGCCCTGTGCTAAGTTGGTGATCTGTTTTTAATTCTTCATCTGTTTTTTCTTTTTTGTCCAAGTGTGCTGTGGCATAGTCCACCAACAACATGTCTTCTTTTTCCCCTGTAATTCCTCATCCTAGTTATTGAATTTTATCATATGGGTGTGTCTTTACATCCCATGGTTCTCCACTGTCCCTTTTATATATTCTGGCTTTTTTGGAATAAGATATGCCTTCCACTTGTGTGTTTGATGCCACCAGATCTGTCCTACCTGTGGTCACAATGCTTCCTTCTGTTAGGATCTCTTGTTCACTTTGTTTACTCCCCTCTTCTTGGATGTGTTCTCCTGTGAATCCTGTTTTCTCTCCTGCTTTTCTTCTTCCTCTCCTGTCTATTCTATTCTGTGATATCTGGCTTGGCAGATACTGTAGAGTTTTCTTTCTTCTTCTCTGCTCTTTTCAATGTAAAACTTTCTTTCGTTCAGTTTGCATACCAAGCATCTATAAGCATCTGAAATTTATAACACTCAAAACAAATAAATCTTTTATCAGTTCTTGTTGATTGCACCTTATCTCTAGCCTGGAAGACCCCATCATTCCTGTGGCCTCACTCATGCTCCTATTTTCAAATGGTGTTCTCAGACCCCATCTTCTTAACCAGCTATTCACTTCCTAAATTAGCCTTTAACCTTCAATTGGTAGTGGTCATATAAACACCACCTTGGCTCTTAGGAGGTCTTTAGTGTCTTAGCCGTGACTTGATAGTGCTTTCTAGATTCTTTCTGATGATAGCATTTGTCCTCATGAATCTCCAGGAGTGTGTAATAAGAGTTGTTAGATATGGCCAGCATCAGGAGGCACTCCGTCACACCTGTGTTGTATGCCTTGCAAAGACATCAGCTTCCCTCAGCCAGGAGTCACCAATCACAACCCCTCCTCTCAGCCTGGACGGCCTCTGACCCCGATCGCGCCTGAGGGACCTGCCTTGTCATTTGTTGGAGCACAAGAGTTGTTTGTCCTTGAGACCACATGTCTCCCTCTCGGCCAGGAAGAGCCTCCCTCCCTTCCTTCTTGGCATCCCCCCCTATCCCTTAACCTCCTGATGTAGCTTAATGTTTCCCCTGAGATCTCTTGAGATCTTCTCCTTCTTTGCTTTCTCTTAGAACTTTCACTCTTTCTTCCTATGAAAAAAAGTGAGTTGTTGTAGGCTTTGGGAAAACATTTCCTCCAGCCCTTTCTCCTACTTTGTGCCTAGGGAGTGGTTCTTTGTCACTGCAAGAAACACAGATACGGCTGCTTCTTGGCAGGTTCCTACAAAATTTCCCTTGCTGTTCGCACTTGCTGAGAACGATCTCATCGTGCCCGTGGCATCCCTGGTATTGGTGTCCTCCTGAGCATCTCCTGTTGGACGGCCTCCTTTTCTCTTAAAGATTTCTGCCAGGTCCGGATGTCAACGGAGCTCCTCCCTGCTGTCATTTCCAGCAGAAATCCAGTCACCTGCAAGATTTTAGTGAATTAAATCTAACTGCCCACCTCTTCTCCCCTCCCCCGCATCTGTCTTGTGCTTTTCTTGGCCTTGGTGCCATGCTCCCTGCTTCTGCCCCTCACCAGCATAGGAACGTTCTTGATCTCCTCCCTGCTTCTGCCCCCTCACCAGCGTAAGAAAGAACATCTAAATCTCCCTACTTCTGCCCCCCACCCCCCAGCATAAGAAGGAACATTCTTGACTTTTCTCTTTCTAAAATGACTGCAGAACCAAGATGATGAGAGGCTCCTGTTTCCTGAGGTTAGTTATTGACCACATTTAGCTTGAATCTGAAAATGGCGTGGTCCTTGTTGAATAGGGCTTCCCCGTCATTAGCTCACGTCTCACGCTCATCTTCTTTTTGTTAACAGCAAGGTGAGACGTCGCCTGACGTGCGAACCCTGCCAAATGCAACCGTGGTGGACAACATTCGGTCCATCTTTGGACATGCTGTCAGCAGGTAGGCTGGGGTCCTCTCCCCGGGGGCTCCTTGCAGTCAGGAAGCGCTTACGCTTCAAGCCCCATGATTGGGTGGTGTGGCTTTTCACTGATCGCTGGGGGCCTTTCTCATGCAGTGTAGCGGTATGAGTGTTTGCAGAGTTTAGTTGGGTGGAGCAGTTTCAGAGTTTAAATAGGTGGATGAAGCATTTGTTAAGTGCTCTCTATGTTCTGGCGATGCAAGTATGAGCAAGCCTGATAGTTTGGGGAAGGCAGCCCATAAAGGGGTCCTGGGAAGCAGGGGGAGGAAGGGGCTGAACACAGGGCTGCGGGGTGGAGAGGAGGAGGAAGAAGTCTGGAGAGTGACTTGGTGCTGGCACACCCCCTGCCCCCCAGATCGTGGTTGCCTCAGGTGGGTACCAGGAGGCAGGAGTGTTGAGGGTGGGAGGAGAGCCGAGGAAGACCCACTCCCTTGAGTGCCCTTCTGCCTGTCTCTGACTGAATTGGTTCTAGGTCCACCCACCGGCAGCTTCCTCATCTGTAAAATGAAGAGGTTAAACTATTTGATCTTTGCAGGCCCTTCCTGCCTAGAGTCTGTTCCCTTCCCCTCAGCCCCAGCCCATTCATATGGGAGGACCTCCATCATCCTCCAGCTCCTCTGGCTTGTCCCCAGTCCTTCCACCCAGCTCCTTCCTCCGGTGCTGTGGCGTCCTAAGGCCACTTCCCCCAAATGGCCTCTTAGACTGGGCCGCAGGCTCCGGGGTGCTGAGCCTGGGCCTAGATGGCCTATCCCAGCGACTTCCTCTCTCGGCTAAAGCCGAGCACTTCCTCGAGGCCCGTGGGGAAGGTTGGTGGAGAACCCCAAGTCCGAGAGTCAGAACATGTTGACTTCCTTTGAAAGCCTGGGGATGCAGGGGAAACTGGCTAGAACCATATGGAGAACCCTGTCCGGAACCATGGTTCAGACTGCTTGAAATCCTCACCCTTGTCAAGCTCACACATGAGTCAGACGCAGCCATTAGGTGGATGCTAGCGGACACAACAAAGAAGATGGAGTGGCCCCTGCAGGGCATCTCAGAGCCAGGGGTGGATGAGAGGGGGCAAGGAAGGCAGTGATGAAAAGAGGACCATGATGGCTTCTCCTGATCCTTGCTTCTGGCCCTGCATGAGCTTTGGACCCCAAAAGTGAATCATGAGTAAAAGGAAGGATGACGTTGGCTCTGTCCCCATTTCTTAGAAAACAGTAAACCAGTGCCAGACTACAGCCACCGAGGGCAGGTGGACAGAGGCCAGAGATGGTCGTGTGCCCAGTGAGGAGCCGCCTCCCCAGACCCCCGTGGGCCAGAGTGCGCCAGATTGGGAAGGAGGACAGAGCTCACTGGATCTGGCTGGGAAATCGTTTGTCTTCAATTACGGTTCTTTTCTTACAAGAGAATCCTGGATTTATGAGACTTAGCCCTGATGGGAACAGGACCAAGCTAGAGCATGACTGATTTCAGTTAGAAAGGCGGGACTTTCTCACTGACAATATGGCGGTGTGAGAACAGGGTGTGGGGCGTCTTGGAATGGTGATGCTGGACCCTCACTACTCTTTTTTATCTTTGTAATTTTAAAAAAGTTTTAAACTTAAATACAAAATGAGAGAAGAAAAATCATTGCCATGTACACGGCAGACCATAAGAGAGGATTCAGTGTAAAACAATACATTTCCATTTCAAGAAAACCTATATAATAAAGGCTACATGTCGTTTTCAAGGCTGCCAGCTTTTCTCTGCTTCCTTGTAGGTTTTCTTTCTTCTCTGCTGTGCACTTTTTACTTTTTTTCCCCCCCACCCCCCAAAGAAGGTTACAATTAAGTGTGAACATACATACATGTATGTACATAGATATCTATAAACATACATGTATATACATCTATATACTCATACACATATATGTAAGACCATACTATGTTTATTTCCACATGTCATCTGTGTCTCTAAAGGTGGATAGCATCTTCCTTCATAAGTCCAGATCTTTCCATGGTTTTCTAAATCAGTCAGCTTATCATTTCCTACACCATAGCTGTATTCCAATCCAGTCACATCCCATCTGAGAGACTGTCTTAGAGTTTTTCCCCAATTTTTTGCATTCCCTCCGCTCTTGGCTACATAGGTTTCATTTGTACAAGGAAATTTTAATTTAAAATAATCAAAATTATCCTTTTTACACTTCAGCAATGCTCTCACCCTTCAATGTAGTTTAAGGTCTGACACCACTGACTCTGCTTCTTTTATGTCTTTTTTTTCTCTTGTTTCTTTGAGGTTTCTCACCTTTTGTTCTTCTAAATCAACTTTGTTATTATTTTTTTCTAACTCAGTAAAATAATTTTTTAGTAATTTAATTGGGATGACATTGAATAAATAGATTAGTTAGGTAAAATTGTAATTTTAAAAATTATATTAGCTTTACCTACCCATGTACTGTAAATATTCGGTTTTTTAGATCTGAGTTTATTTGCATAAGAAGTATTTTATGTTTATGTTCATGTGTAGTTCTTGTGTCTGTTTTGGCAGGTATACTCTCAGGTATTTTATACTGTCTAGGTATTTTAAATGGTCTAAAACAGTATTAAATAATATTGTTGACACATAGTGTAGTTTCTCTGTTTTTCACTTTTGATTAAATCTATTTTAACTTTAACTTTGTCTGAGATCATGATTACCGCCCCAGCTTTTTTTTACATACTAAATTCTACTCTTGCCCTTTATTTTATCTTTGTGTATATCTCTCATTTTTATGATGTTTCCTGAAAGCAACATATTGTTGAATTCAAAATTTTAATCTGCTATCCGTTTGCATTTTATGGGTAAATTTGTCCCTTTCACATTCTAAGCTACAATTACTTGCGTATTTTCCTCCTTCTGATTTTTCCTTACTATCCTTCTCTTTCTATTTATCCTATCCTTCTTTACTCCTCTGCTGTACTTCTGCCTCCTATTCCTTAATCTACCCAACCCCCACAAGTGCCTCCCTTATCTTCTCCCTCCATTCCTCTCCTAAATCTTAATCTACACACCCTTCTCTACCCCCCCATCCCGTTCTCTCACTCTCTTATTTCTTTATAAATTTAGAAGACTTTTACATTTTTATAAATGTGTGTGTTGTTCTCTCTTTAACCCATTCCCAGCGAGAGAGGGTTCCAGCACTGTCAGCCTCCTGCCCCGTCTGAGTCCTCTGTATCAGTTCTTCATCTCATGCCTCCTTTGTATGAGATAATTACTCTTTTTACCTTTTTTTACACCATTTTGCCTTTTAGGATCACATCATTCTCAGCTGTACCCCAGTCTTTCTTTGGAACTGCCCAATTACTAATGTCAGTCTTAGACATGTGGTTTGCATTTCCATGTATAAAAGGTAAACAATCTGTCTTTATTGAGTTCTTTGTAATTGGTCTGTGATATTTATCTTATATTTCTCTTGGATCTTGTATGTCAAATTTTCTATTAAGTTCTGGTCTTTTTGCAACAAAATCCTGAAAGTCTGTCAGCTCATTGAATGTCTAGTTTTTTTTTTTTGGTTCAGAATTATACTTAACTTTGCTGGGTGTGATATTTTCGGCCGGAACTCCAGTTCTTTTGCTCTTCAATATATCGTGTTCCAAGACTGTGATCTTTTAGTGTTGCCATTGCTAGGTCTTGTGTAAATTCTAATTGCGGCTCTGCCATATTTAAATTGTTTTTTTCTTGTTGTTTGTAATATTTTCTCCTTAACCTGGGGGTTTTGGAATTTGGCTATGATATTCCTGTGGGTTTTCCTCTGAGGATCTCTTTCAGGGGGAGATCGGTGGAATTTTTTTCTATTTCTACCTTTCCCTCTTGTTCTAATACTTCAGGACAATTTTCTTTGATTATTTCTTGTATTATTGTATCAAGATTCTTTTTACGGTCATAGCTTTCAGGTAGTCTAATTATTCTTGTGTTTTCTCTTGATCTGTTCTGCAGATCAGTTGTTTTTCTTATGAGATGTTTCACATTCTCTTCTATTTTTTCATTCTTTATATTTTGTTTTATTATTTCTTGGTCTGTTAGAACTTTGCTGGCTTTCCTTTAACCAATTCTGATTTTCAAGGAATCATTTTCATCCTTAAGATTCTGGATCTCTTTTTCTAATTGCTTGACTATCTTTTCATAATTTTGTTTTTCTTGGATTGTTTTTGCTTTTTGAAAAAATTTCCCTCAATCTCACTTATTTGATTTTTGAAGTCTTTTTTGAGTTTTTCCTGTAAATTCTTTTTGGGCAGGTGACCATTTGACTTTACTCTTTGGAATAGGAGAGACTTTTTTAGTTTGGTATCCGCTGAAGATGACCCCTGATCTCCTCTATTCCCTTAGTAACGTTCTGTGTTTGGATTCTTTCTCCTTCGTGTGCTCATTTTTGTTTTGTTTTGTTTTATTTTTAGCAGCTTGTTCTTATAATCACCTCTGATCCTGGGGTGTAGGGGTGGGGCCTTCTGGCCTCAGGTCCTTCTTACTGTTATTTTTTTGAGCTTTGTCCTGGGCCCAGCCTCTGCACTCCTTTCCCCTCCAAGCCACAGCTAGGGCCCCTGGCCTCATTGTGCTGGCAGTGCTCTTGCTCCCCGAGACCCCTCCAGTGGCTATGACCTTCAGTTTGCCCTGCTGGCCTGGAACTGAGACCAAGAACTCAGCTTTCCTGTAGTGCCCACAGCCAGTGGCATCCCCACCCCGCTGCTTCTGCACTTACCGGCATGTGCTGGTTCCTTCTTTCCCAGGACCCCATATCTGGCAGCCCTTGTCAGCAGAGGTTCCCTCAATCTTCCCCGGCTCAGACACCCAAATCCCCACACTATCCGGAAGATAAAAACCCTGTGGCTGTGGTTACCTCCCAATCCAGCTGCCCAAGGGCTCACTGCTTGCTGTTTTAGCAGAGCTGGCCTGGAGGTGTTTGCACTTCACAGGGACCAAATCTCGGATAATCTCCAGTTGTCCCAGGAGGACCACTGCTCTGCCACAATTCTTGTTTATTTTTGCCCTTCTGTTCACCCTGAGGTGCTATTTTGTCTTGTTTGTGGGGGAAATCTGGAGAGCTTGGAATTTTCTGACCTATTCCACCATCTTCCTAGAATCCTGAGGTCCTTTAGGGAGTGGGTCCCTCCAAGGCCTCCAGATGAGAAAAGGAGTGAGCCATAAGGCCTGGGCCTCATGTCCACATCTGCAGGCAGCATTGTATTGAGATGAGAACCGTGGCCTGGTGTCAGGACAGGCATGTACTGACTGACCTGCCAGGTTCTTTCAGCCCTTGGACCCTCCTGTGGTGGTGGGAGTTCTCCAGGGTTCTCTCCTGTCCTGAAGAGTTCTTCTCATTCAAACAGAGAGCTGATCGAGGTGGGCTGTGACGACCCAGTGCTTGCCTTCAAAATGAAGGGCTACATCTCCAATGCCAACTACTCTGTGAAGAAGTGCATCTTACTACTCTTCATCAACCGTAAGTCAGTGCAGACAGACCAGCTTTGGCCTCATCTTGTGGGTTTGGTGATCAGCAGTGATTGACTGACTACACATGTGGGAATGGGGGTCCCTGCCCAAGTTAGGGGATAGACATGAGGCCTCTGTTCCCTTACCCAAAGAAACACGACATACTTCATTCTGTTTCCTCACTTTTCCTAGTGCCTGCATGCTGAGATATCAGCCCCATTTTGGGAAGGGCATCAATTATCTGGAGTGGGTCTCAGAAGAGGGGCCTGAGGGTCATGCCATAAGAGGATTGGTGGAAGGAATTATGGGTTGTTAGGAGAGGAGAGGACATGGGAAACAAGAACGCTGTCTTCCCATGGTTGAAAATTGTGGTGTGAAAGAGGGGCTGATCTTGTTCTGTTTGGCCCTAGGAGTAATGAGCAGAGAGGCAGCCAGCATTAGATCTGAGATGAGGGAACCCTTCCTAATTAGGACTACCCTAAAGTAGATTGGGCTGCCCCAGGAGGTAGTGGTTTTCTCCTCTCTGGTCTTCTTCAGAGCGTGGATGGCCACTTGTCTAGGTTGTTGTAGGGGGAATTCTTCAGGTACAGGGTGGCCTTGGTGGTGTGGTGATTAAAAAGGTTCAAGGGACATAGTTTCTGGGTAATTTAATCATTTTATTAATAAGACTAGCATGTTACTATTAAAAGAATGGTCATTTGGCTGTCTCTCTTAGACCAAAGTCTATCATGGCCCCCCCCAGCTCAGGGCTTATGTATTCTTTTGAAAGAGGAGTGGTAATCAACTCTGATTGGTTAACACAATGGGAGGCGGGCTATATTAAAATGAGGGGCTGAGAGTGTCTTATCTCTATCCCCAGACCACACCTAGTTTTGGGTTCTGTTCAAAGAACCTATGCCCCACCCAAACCTGAGCAGGAGACAGTGGCAGCACAGGGTTGGTCTAATCTCATCAGCAATGTCTTTCAAGGGGCTGAACTTTTAAAATCCGGACTTTAGAAAAGGAGAGAACTCTGGATCTCCTCAAATCATTGGTTATTCGTAATCATTTCTGATTCCCCCACTTGATTCTATTGAGAGGCGTGGCCTCCTCAACACATCATTAACTGATATCACAAATACCTCGTCCAGGGTTTCTAACTATGGGGCTTAGGAGGGGAGGCAGAGTGAGGGGGGAAAGGCAAGATGGACAGCTGGTGCTTTGGCAAAATCAAAGGGGGCAATCCCCTTTGATAAATCGACCTTACAGAGAAAAGGCACAAAGGGAGAAAGTAAATAGCAAAACAAAGTGGTCCATTTAAGGCTTGGAAGTCTCATTTCTTATGGCCTTCTGGTTCTTGGGGCACCATGGGATGTAGTCCTGTGGTTCAGGTGTGGTCTCAGAGCAATTCTTCTCTGGCTCAGGTCATTTGTAGAAATTCTCTTGTCTGCTGAAAATGTCTTACAAAATTGGTCTTAACACAAATTTAAATGTACTTTGCCAATCAGGTCAGATAATGAAAAGTTAGTTCAAACCTTATGTCTCTTACTAGAAAATCAAATTTGGAACCTTTTATGCCAGGGAATTTACATTTTTAGGCCAATTACATTTACATGTTTGGCCAATTGTCATGTTGATATATGTATATATAGGAAACTCAGATACAAACAGAAAATTAGAACCCTATTTCTATAGTTGACATTATTCATTCCTCCATTAGGTGGATGAAAATCCACAGAACATTTTTAAGAAGATGGACTCTAATACAAAAATGAATTCACTTAAAAGTTGACATATTAAATTCAGTTGTAACAAAAGGTTCTGGGATGGGATGTATAAATACATTGAGTAATCAATTTTATAATAAAATATTTTCAGCTTCTAGCCATGGTGAAATGAATTACCCTTAATAAAAGTGGATGTCTCTTTAAGGTTTACAAGACAGACAAAAAGCCATTCTTCTTCCAAGATAACTAATTGTACTGATTCCTTTCCTTAACACAGAGCTGAGACAGTTATATTTACTAAGTAACAGAATCATATCCTGATCTCACAAATTTTTGCATCATTTTCATACCATTGTGAGAAATTAAAGGACCTTAACTTACAGAGGAATATGTAACTAGTAACAAATATCAAGGTTAGATAGTTAGTTGTTTGGAATGTAGAAAGGACTAAAATTCTAGGCCAGGTAGCTCACATCTTATCACCTGCATCTTATTGTAGTAACTCAGATGTACTCCAGTAGTAGCCTGTAAGATAAAGGTTTAATATTGTGTTCATATTGATTGTCTGTTTTCTGACATGATTATAGAAATTTGCCATAAAAGAAGAATAGAAGTATAAGGGAAAATCCTCATATCTTGATGTCAATTCCAAGCAAGAATTATATAGATGGCCAATTTGCATTGAGCCAGGCTCTGAGTCAGCCAGGTGGGATATTTTCCATTCGAGCGAAAAGGTCACACTGGAGAAATAGAAGAATCCTACCTCAGTCCATGCTAAAAATCATTCTCCCAACCTTTCCCATGAGAACTCCACCTGCAGTTCATGCATGTAAACCCATAGGGTTGCTGGCATCCTCCATGCATTGGCTCAGTAGCCCTCCTTGATGCTCATACCTGGAATCAGACTCAGATTAATATCAGTTAACAGTCCCATAATCATCAGAACTTTGGGTAGCTTCATCTCTCAAGGATCACATATCCTAGATAACCAGTATTGATTCTACTCTCATACTGGTAACAATAAGAGATTCATCACAGAAAATCACAACTTACCTTGGTATAACTAGTACTCAGGCTAAGGAGATGTTTTTTCATTCCTAAATTCAACACTGCACAAATAATTTTGCTTTAAGATGCTTAATAACAAACAACAAAAGATGGGATGCATAAATATAATAATTCCACATTGTATACAGAAAACAGATCATATGAAGCATTGTCTATAGTGAAACAGGTTCAGTTATTAGCTATGTTCAAATGGACATAAACATAGACTACTGTTCTCAGAATTCCTTTAAACAATGAGGACATCTTTTAAGGGTGACTTCTAAGTACTTTACATGCATTTCTACACATCTAATCTCAGATTAAATAACAGATGTAAGTAAAATCAGATTTCCTATTAAAGTGACACGAGATAGCTCATAAGTTACTACTGTTCACTAACATAACTGTTTATACTAAAATCCTATTCCTTAAAACAAAAATAAAAGAGGTTCCTGACTTTAGCTTCACAAGCTTCTTCACCTTTGTCTAGTTATACTCATATCATTCTGAAAGAATGAGATACTCCACAAGTTGAATCTTAGACACAGGACACGTTCAAGCACTCATTTAACTCTTGCCATAGGATGGCCACAGGATAACAACAAATTTAGATCACGATAGCAAGATCTTTCCCATGTGCAGTTTATAACAGTAATTGCCTTAGTATTAATCTAATAACTAACAGATTCAGTGTCGCAATGGCAGACTTCTACTGTTTGTTTGCCCTATGAGAGTTATAAGCAGGGACGTGGCTATAACAGCATCAAAGCTGCCTCCTGGCCTACACCACCATAAGTAGCCTAGCGTATGGAACCAGGCAGACAGAGTTCTTGTATTGGAAAATTAATGAAGAGGAATACAGCTCAGCTTTCCCAAGGTAACCACCCTACCTTATTCCCAGGCACAGCTATTCACTTGTCTTAGCTCTCAGATGTTGCTTCCATCCAGCTACTGATGGACATGTTTCTGAAAGCACCCATTTGTGGACGGTCTAAGGACACAACAAACCTGAGGATGAAACTCATAAAGAATATTTAGGGTCCCACAAAAGCTTTCTCCTCTCATAGTCTCAGTATCATTAATCGCAGTAGGTCTGGACACAGTTGTTTATCAATATCATCGAATTATTGCAATAAATTACCTTACAAATAAAATTTATCAGTCCTAAAATTCACACAAAAGTCTTTTACAAAAGATTTTCTTTCTTAAATATTCCTTCCTAAAATTATTTCCCTTTCTTAAAAACAGCTTAAAATTTATCCTGATGTTAAAAGTATAATCACTAAACTTGCATGAAGTAAATTAGTTAGAAACCTCTAAAATGACAGATATCTCTCTCTATTCAACCTTAAAGCAAAAATGAATCTTTAGAACTGGAATTTATCAAGACTGAATTAGTGTAAAATGTCTTTGAGTAACGTAAATAAATCCCAAAAGTACTATTACCACTGATTATACCATCTTCCTCTAGTCAAAAGCTGTTTAAAATGGGGATGAGATTCAGTTTTTCTGAGCTCAAAAAATTACCCAATTAAACTAGCTTTATCACAATAACAAAGTTTACTGTGCCTTTAAAATTTTATTCAATATCTTTTTCTTTCCTTTGTCTTTAACCCTATCATTAAAAATCAAGAAAAATAATTACATTCTGAAATAGTACATAGATAGTGAATATGTGATAGTTCACTTAAATGCCTAGAAAAACAACACAGGGCAATTGCTGTAAACTTCCAAATAAATGTGTGTGTGTTTGTGTATGTGTGCGTGTGCGTGTGCGTGTGTGTGCATATAATATATATATCCTTAGATGAAGCAGGCTTGAAAATTGCACCCCCACTTTGTGCATGGATTCCCATTTACTCAGTAGGAATTCCATAGCACAGAAAACTCGTGCACAGAGTTGATAAGAATTTATGATTATATGGTTCTGAGAATCCTTCTAGGTTTACAAAGGAGATTTTACAAGGTCTTTTCTTTGTACAATTACCAATTTTCCTTTTCAAATACCTATGTAAATACTTGGTAGGTTTTAACATTATAACAGTAACTCTAAATAACCCAATTAACAATCTCATAATTTTCATAAGTGATACCAAATCATTTTAGGTGAAGCTTCCTCTTAATGTAGGCAGCAATGGAAGTTCGTAACTTATCGTCCTTCAGAATATTGCAGCCCATGGACAGCAGGGCTGATAGAATGGCCTTACAGCTTCCTGGCCTAGTCATTCTTTTTTTTAAAACAGTACATTTCTAAATCTAGCAGCATCTAGATCATAAGAGAAGTTACTGATAGTTCACAAATTATACAATATAAGAAAATTTAGAAACATAACAATGCCCTGAACAGTATCATACATTTGGAACTTTGGAAAAAAACCCATTACCAGTCAGGTGGCTTCAATTCAGGTAAATGCCCAGAGATTCATCCATCTCATCAACATTGGCATTATATACTGATCACATCTAAAAACCCATATCACGTATGAAGCAATCACATCTAATTAAAGAGAAAATAAAAACAGTTCACATTCATATAGTGTTTGCCTTATGTTAAGCGCTATTAAGCACTTTATAATTATGTGGTCTGCACAACCACCCTGGGGGTGGGTGCTGTTATTATCCCTTACAGAATGGTAAACTGAGGGAACAGGACTTTCTTGGGGCAGCTAATAAATTCCTTAATGCCAAATAACAAATACCTTTTTATGTTAGGCTGTAATTTACCGTAATAATCCTGATAGGAGAGCACACTCAGACCCCATTCTTACTTCGTTCAGGACAGATTTTAGCGTAAATCAGATCAAATCCATATTTATAATCACAAATGGTAACATTTTAATTTCTAAGGCCCAATACTCTTAGCACTTTAAAAGAAAAAAGATTATTATCCATACGCTCATATATTTCCTTTTTTTTTTTAAAGGATACATGGTAACAATTCCCAACTCCCTATAACCTTTTCCTCTTTTCCTCTACTTCCTTAAAGCCTTCAAGAGCTAGAATCCTCTGCTTCCTTTACTTTTGAGACTTATCAAATAAAGAGCTGCCCTAAGCATCCCAGCTCCCCATCCCCATCATCCTGGGAATTTCAAGCTGTATATACTAGGAAATACATGTAAAATTTTACAAACAGTTTGGAATCACCTGTTACCATCAGGTCAGCTCAAAATGTGCTAGGCTAAAACATAACTGCTGCTTTTGGCCCAGGCAAAGAGACCCATGGAATTTGATTTAATGCTGGCATGGTGGCCATTTTCTCCAGTCAGAAACCTTCAAGAGTTTTCAGAGAAGTTAAATAGTTGGATTAAGTACTAATTAAATAATTGAACGATACAAGGAAACATTGAAGTTTTTATATGATAATCACAAATCACAATAACCAATATCTTTACCAGTATTTATGTAGTGTTAGATTCCTGAAAGGTGGGTGGACATGATTAACTAGATGATTACCTAACCTTATTCTTAGACTATTGCTGGCTAAAGACAGGCTTCTATCTCTGGTTAAAGACTGACTTCTAAAAATCTTTTCTTTTGCAATTTTTAGTTTGTAATTGAAGTCAAATCACTGCACTAAGCATGGGGCTAGATGTTGAAATCTTAAAGTACTGACACTCTAACTCAGTTACTAATCTGCTACTGATTTTTTTTTTTGCAATCAGTCTTTTAACAAATCTTTTAACCCAAAAGAATTAAAGAAGAATTCACATTTCTAACAATATTTTAATACAATAAATTATCAGATTAATGTTACGTATTATCTTTGTTCACATCACAAATCACATAACTGGGGTAACTTGGCTTAAAACCACTCAGCTAACAGGTTTCCTGATATAGTATAATAGTAATAATAATAACAATGCATATCTGGATCTGTTTTCCAAACAGTATCATAAAGAACCTTAGTTTATAATTTCAATGGTTTAGTATTATATTTTACATGAGGGCTATTTATTCCAATCATTTCATATTATGGGATTCACTATTTCCAGCTAATCCACTGCAAAAGATTTAAAAAGTGGTAGTATAGAACAGATTTTAATTATAATAATTCAATCACACTGAGGAACAAATTCTTATCATATTCCTCCTTCCCCTTCCACTCTCTCGTAACAGAAACTGCCTAGTGGAACAAAAGGGAATTAGGCCATGCGGTGACTCCTAAAATATCGCTTGCAGAAAGCTTGCCTGCCTGCCAGAAGCGCTTCTCTAAATTCCAAACCCAAAGTCACCCTCACACTCCTTTTTTTTGTCCTTCTGCTCTTCACCTTCTAGAATCTGGGGAGAGTTAACACTGAATAATTTACAGATCCAGAGAGCTGTATTTCTCTCACGATTGTCACCAGCATTACTTATAAAAACAGCTTTTGCCATGTAATTTTAAACAAATTACTGAAATCCTAAAGTGATTGCATTTAAGGCCATGATATAAAAGGCTTGATCAAAGTGTCCTAAAAGACAAAAAACTTACTTTTGCATTTTTAAACACATTTTAAACACATAAGCCTTGATGTCAGATATATTTGGGGGGGGGGGAGACAGTTCTCTAGAGTTAATTTAAACATAATCCAGGTGGCTTTAAGTGGCCCGTTAGTTAGCCTCACTTGAGATGCTGGTCTTGCCCCTAAGAATCAGCCCCGGTGGCTACAGCCAAGCTGCTTGGTCCCAGATACTGTCAGCCTGAAGCTGCAGTTAAAGTCCCACCAAAGGAAAAAAAAACTTGGCATTTTTAGTTGGGGAGAACCCTGCTCTGATTCCACCCGCCAAACTGTAAACTCATACAGACAGAACATACAGAAATCAGAGTTGAGATGAAAATCTCTTAGCTTGGGAGAACTTCCTGCCCTGCATTTGTGCCTCCTGCTTCTGCCCCCCCCCCCACCCAGGGACACACCCACTCGGACACAGCCTAGTTCCTTGGCTGCCCCTCTGCCTGAACACCCCAAGAGGGTTCCTCCCTCTGGGGCAGAATTTTAACCTAATTTGCTCCCCAAGATAGCATAGTTTTTTTTTTAAGAGTTGGTAGGTACTCTCGTATCTTGCCTGTTTCATCTTAATGAAATCTCAGGCCATGCCTACTTACTGACTCTTTAAAATTAATAAGAGGACTAGAATGACCAGGCTTCCAATCCCAAAGTGGATCTCCAAATTCCTCAGGTGGCTCCCCACATCTCTGCTCAAACCTCAAAACTCAGTTAAAAAATAGGACTTCTTTTCAAAGCTGTCTTTGGCAGAAGCTTTCGTTTTCGGGCACTCTATCCCAGTAAGCCTGTTCAAGAGGACCCTAAGCGAGTGAGAATGAAAATTAGAGACTGAAAGATTAAAAACATCTAGATAGACACAAAATGCATGAAGTTACCCAGATAAAATTTATTTATTGGTAAAAGGGAGAGTTAGATCGTAGCCAGAGTCCTAACAGAGATCTTTGTGGAGAACTCTCCACATGGACCCAGTAGAGGGGAGTTTTTTGTTAAGAATCTGGAGTGCAAGGCTCTGATCCCTTCATGGTAAGCCATAACTGATGATTAAAAAGGTTTGAGAGACATAGTTTCTAGGTAATTTAATCATTTTATTAATAAGGCCAGCACCTTATTAATAAGGGGTGGTCATTTGGCCGTCTTTGGTCATAGACAGAAGACAATCATGGCAGCAGGCTCAGGGCTTACATGTTATTTTGGAAGAGACTCGAGTAACAGTCAACTGTGATTGGTTAACACAATGGGAAGTGAGGGCCTGAGAGGGACATCACGGTGTCACTCGGAGGAGTCTTTTCTCTATCCCCAGACCACCCCCAGCCTTGGGCTGTCTAGACAAAAGGATCTGTCTCCACCCAAGCTTGATTGAATGAAATTCACCTGAGACTAGGGAGTCTTTGTAAGGTTGGGTTGGGTTGGTTGGGAAGTTTAGCTCCACCTTCAAAGACTGAGGTCCTGAAAATAGAAAAGAAAGGGGGAACTCTGAGTCTCCCCAAATCCTTAGTTATTAATAAGCCCTTCTCTCACCTCCCTTGGCAGAGATGGTCACGGGCAGAAAGCTGGGAACGCTGCCTGTGCTGTCAGATTGGCCTGTGTGTGGCTGAGCTGCTTTCAAGAAAACATTGTATTTTACTCTTTGCTACAAACACTGGCTTTTGGGGGGTGGTGAGGAATGTATTCAGATAAAAGTAAATTATTATTATTATTGTTATTTTTAAAAGAAGAGGCCACGGTTAACCCTTTAGAATCGTGGGTTCTCAGTGTGTGGAGCTGGATGGGACCTTAGAAGTCATTGTGTCCAGGCTGAGAGGGCCCGGGTGATTTGCTCCACATGCTTCAGGTGTGAAGGCAGAGAGCCAAGATTGGAACTCAAATCTTCTGCCTTGGGGAAGGCTAGGAGAAGGACCCAGTGTGGAAAAGGAGGGGAGGTTGTGGTAGAGCGGTGGCCAAGAGCAGGCCTGGCACAAGGCCATGGCAGATGGTCACTGGCAGCATTTGGATGGGAAGTAGAGCGTTCTTTGGGGGTGGTCTGTGGGCCAGAGGTAGCCTGTTGGGCCCAGCTGACCGTTCTGGGAGGCTGAAGCTGCACCAGAAAGGGGCAGTGTTAATGGAGCAAGGCCTCCAGGGCCATGGGCCTAAGCAGAGGGGGCTAGCTGGCTGGTTTGACCAGCAGTGTCAGACTCTGTGGTCCAGCACAAGGCAGAAAGGCCCACATGTCCTTTTTTTCCAGACCGACTAGTTGAATCTACAGCCTTAAAGAAGGCCGTGGAGAGCGTGTACGCGGCCTACCTGCCCAAGAACACACACCCATTTCTTTACTTGAGGTAAGCAGAGCCTCGCCCATGTCCGTCTGTCCATTCCCATCAGCTCACAGAGGGGAGAGGAGGCTCAGGCCAGCCTGACTGGGAAACCCCCCTCCCTGGTCCAGTCTCTCGGGGCAGCCACCCGTAAACCCGCCAGATGGGGCAGTCGAGGTCCTCGTGGAGGCTGGTGGCCACCCTATGCTTGTGACTTTCGACTGACTTCCTCAAGGGGGATGGCGTCCTTAGTGCGCTCCACATCAGCCTCTGTCCTATGGCGGGGGGTTCTTAAAATGAAGTCTTGCCTTTGTTTCTGGCTCTGGGGAGCAACGGGTGAGCCCCAGATGGGCAGATGTTCCCACTTGTCACTGACGAACGAGATCTGGTCCCTTCCTCCTTGGTCTGAGACAGAAAGCAGCTAGACATGGAGTCTGAGGAGCCAGGCTTGAACCCTGGTCTATCCCTGGTACCTGTAGGGCCTTGGACAAGACACTGCTGCTTGTTGACTGACTGACTGACCTCCTCCCATCACTGAACCCTATGAGCCAGGCATAGCATGCAGCCCTAGACTCAGGAGCCTCAGAGCCTTCCTAGCTGTGTGGCCATAGACAAGTCCCTTCACCTCTGCCTGCCTCAGTTTCTTCTTCTAAAAACGGGGACAATAGTAGCGCCGCCCTCCAGGGTGGCTGCGAGGCTCAGACAGTCCTGCATCCCAGGGCTTTGCAAACCTTCCCTCACGAGGTGAATCCAGGCTCTTACTTGGGTCGCTGGAGGCTTGGCATGGTTGGAGCTGACTCCAGACCCCTTATTGGGGGGTTGCTCTTCCTCTCTGCCCCGTCCACTTCCTTCCTCAGCCTGGAAATCGCCCCCCAGAATGTGGACGTCAACGTGCACCCCACCAAGCACGAGGTGCACTTCCTCCACGAGGACAGCATCCTGGAGCGCGTGCAGCAGCACATCGAGAGCCAGCTCCTGGGCGCCAACTCCTCACGCACCTATTTCACACAGGTGGGGGAGCTGAAACCCCTGCTGATGGGACCCTGACCCACCAGACTGCACTGGGCTTGTGCCAAGAACTCAGGGTTCCTTCCTGTCATGCGGTGTGATCAACCTCAGAACTCCTCAACCCTTTTCTGTTCCTCAGTATCCCTAGGAACTGGGTATGGGAAGCAGAGACCCCGCACTTCCCCCAGTGCTTATTGGGGACCCTACCCAAGGAGGGCACCCTCGGGCCAAGCCCATTGAGTGCCCCTGGGAGAGCCCTGCCCCATCCTGGAGGATCCTGCTGGCTGGGGCACCAGCAGGCTTGGCCACCTCTGGCCAGGGACTTCACCTTCCTCAATTGCAAAAGGGTCATTGGGAGCAGCTGTCACACCCCTGCTGCAGAAACAAAACCTAGTGTTGTTATCAAAAGTGTGGGAAATACTCTGGAATAAAACCTCCTGGAGCAGAAAAGCTCAGTTTTCTGGCTGGGCTCTTTGTTGCTGCCCTGATATACTCTCACTTGGAAGAATCTAGCCTGAGCTCTGTCCAGCTCCCCCCAGCTCCATCCCGTCCCCCCAGATTCATCCAGTAGCCCCTAGCTCCATCCCACCCCCTTAGCTCCATCCCACTCCCCCAGCTCCATCTTGCACCCCCTAATTCTGTGCTTTCCTCCTCCTCTTCCCGATTCAGACCCTGCTGCCAGGCGTTGCTGGCCCCATGACTAAGGGGCTGAAATCTGCCACTGGGTCCTCAGCACTGACCCAGGGAGGGGGCGACAAGGTCTATGCCCATCAGATGGTTCGTACAGATTCCCGCGAGCAGAAGCTTGATGCTTTTCTGCGGCCCGTGAGCAGACCCTCAGCCGGGCACCCCCCGGCCCCGAGCGCCGAGTGCCAGCCAGCAGCCACAGTCAGCTGGCCTGATGAGGAGATGGAGGAGCTTCCAGAGAGCCCCAAACTAGCTGCAGAAGTGCCGGGGCCACCAGAAGGTCCCAAGAAAGCGGACAGGCTGCCCCCTGAAACAGACGGTTCCAGGTGAGGGCCCTGAAGGGAGATGGTCCCTCGTTAGCAGTGTTAGGTCTAAGGGTCAATATGTCGCAGGTTTGGAGCCTGAACCCCTTGTTTACAGATGAGGAAACCGAGGTCACTTCCTCTGTCCAAAGTTATTCAGGTGGTCAGTTAGTGATTGATGATTGTGTACTTAATTTTTTATTTTTATAAACATATTCAGTAACAGTCAAGGGGGAGGAAGGTGTGAGAAGACTGGAAAGGGAGGAGGGGGCTGGGTTGTGAAGGACTTTGAATGCCAACCAGAGCATTTTGTCTTTGGTCCTGAAGGAGATAGGAAGCCAATGGAGTTTGAGGGTGTGTGTGGTCAGGTGACGTGATCACACCTGGGCTTTAGGAAAATCACCTTGGTGGCTGAATGGAGGATGGACTGGAGTGGGGAGATAGTGGGCAGACCCGTCCCCTATGGCAGTAATGCAGGCATAAGGGGGTGGGGGCAGTGTCCAGGACAGAAGGGATGCTGCTGAGGTGCAGTGGACAGGCCTGGCACCATGTTGGATCAAGGGGTGAGAGGGAAGGAGGGGGACAGGGAGGAGGGCGTTGTCCTCCATTGTTAGCAAGACAATGGGAGTAAATCTCTGGGAGTAAATCTCTGAACAAACCCAGAACATTTAGACTACTGGCGGTTGGTTTTAAGAAAGGTCCTGCATGTGGTGTGCACACCAGCCCTCACCACTGTGCCAACCTCAATCTTCATCACTTTGCTTAGGGGCTTCCCATAGGCCTCAGAATTATGCCTATTTCTCGATTCGCTTGTTTCAGGGCCCTCGCAGTCCTCTGAGAGCCTCACTTGGGCTCCCTGGTCCCCATTTGGGGCACTTAGGGGGCGTTCTCTGGGGGGGGCTATTTTTGCCGATTTTCTATTTACAAGGTAGAACCTTATGAGTTTTTTTATTTAACTTGAGCATGTTTTCTTGTGATTGTTAACAATTTTTATTCCTTCCTTCAAAAATGTTTCTCCTGTTTTGTATTTTTATAAATGTTCATCCTTTTCTTTTACATTTTCAAATGTATTTGCCAGATGTGTTCATCTCTGGTGATTTTCTGGATTTCTTTTGCTCTCCTTGTGACCTATCTGCCCTTTCATATTTTCCAGCTTGCTAATTTGGTGTTTTTCATCTGTTATTTGATTAGCAAATTTTGTTCTTATTTTTCTTGGCCATTCATTCAAAAAACTCTTAACTTCTATTTATCACGTTTATATGGTCTCAGTTTTGTTAACATTGGCATTCGGTGCCATAAGATGCCTCGGAGGGCAGCTTTGTGCCCTACTGTCTTGTTGTTACCTAGGATGTGATGTTGCCATGGTTTCTCTTCGGTTTACCTCAGTGACTCTCGTTACTGTCTCTGTGCACCAACATCTTTGACTCAGTGGGTCACAACTTACTCAAACATTGTGGTTTGCAGGGAAAAAGAACCTGTTTGTTTGTTTAGACCAGTGATTTCATTGTGGTAGTGAGCTCCTTGTAAGGAGCTCTGTCTCCCAGGGCAGCTGGTCCCCTGGCCCGCATTGTCTGCTTCCGGAGCGTTCGGTCATTCTAAGTCATTCGTGCAGGCCTGCAGGCCTTCCTGGTTCTGAGACTCGCGCTCTGGCTTCCGTTCCATGGCATCTCTGATATGATCTGTAAATGAAGAGTCTCTGCTTTTTAATTCTTTGTGTATGTTACCTGTATGCTTGAAAAAATAATTTTTTTTTTTGCTTCTCTCATTAGTGTTATATATCAGATCCGATATTTAAAAAGTATTCTGTGTACCTCTAATTTTTAATATTTATCTTTTGGTTGGACTTACCATATTCTTAATGGTGGGACATTAAAGTCTTTGACTATTATTAGATTTTTGTTTACTTCAAGTCTACAAGGTTTTCTTTTTTAAATTACATTACAAAATTATTAATTATATATATTTAAACTTAATAAGTTTTCATTTTGAATATTACTTTTAGGCATTGTATTTCTTTTTCTCTTAATTCTTTCTGGTTTAAATCATCAGTGTTGTTCTGACTTTTCATGAGTTAGCATGGGGGTATGGGGGAGTGTCCAAATGTATGTGGTCAGGGTTTGGGGAATGGTGGGGCTGAGTGGCCTGACATAGTAGAGAGGCAGCTAGATGGCTGCGTCCTCAGGTTCTAATCTTGGCGCTAGAAGTCACCTGTGAACTGAGGGGGCTGCTGGGGGCAGGCAGGGAGGCTCCTTTTTTCTTGGTGACCAATGAAAACGTTTGCTTTGCAGCGAACTTGGCACATCCGTAAAAGTAGGCCAGTGACCCGCTCGTTTGTTTTCCCTCAGAAAGAGGCCGAGGGAAGATTCTGATGTTGAAATGTTGCAGGAGGAAATGACGGCAGCCTGCTGCCCGAGGAGGCGGATGGTCAAACTCACCAGCGTCTTGACTCTGCAAGAAGAGATCAGTGAGAGAGGCCATGAAGGTACGTACACTCACCTGGGCTGGGGCCTAAGAGGGCGAACATGCCCAAGATTGTTAAAGTCAAGTGACCGGCTTACAGACTGCTGTGGGCACCTACTGTGTGCCTGGCACTGTGCTCAGCACTTGATAAGTATCTCATTTCACCCTCACAACTCTGCCAGGTAAAAGCTGTTATGATCCCCATTTTACATTTGAGGAAACTGAGGCAACAGGAGAAGCGACTTCAGCCAGGGTCAGGCAGCTAGTAAGTGTCTGAGGCTGGATTTGAACGGAGGTTCTTCCTGACTCCAGGAATAGGAACAGGGACAGGACCCATGGATTCCTAGGAGAGGAAACCCCCTTCACTGGTACAGGTCAGCACCTCCCCTGCCCTGTAGAGCCACAAGGCAGCTTCTTGGCATGCTTAGGGAACCTGGCTAAGGTCCCACAGCCAGGGGGTGTCCATGTCTGCCTGGCTCTGAGGCCATGCCACCTCACCCCTTGGAACATCTGTTTCCCATGTGGTTCCATATCAGTAGCTCAGGTGCGGGTCTTTTACGTCTGCAGAGCCCAGGGAGTAGCGTGTCGGGCCGAGAGCTGGGAAGAGAGGCCAGATCTGGCTCGACCTGGGTTAGGCTCTGTGCTTGTCTAGGCCTTGGCTGGCCCGTCATGGGGGGCGAGGTATCTTAACCGGCTTGTGGGCAGTCTTAGCCCATCAGCGCCTGCCTCTTCCTGGGCTCGGCCCTCATGGCCAGCGTGTTCCATCCTTCCCAGTCTCAAGGTCATTCTTGTTGGGAAAGGAAAGCCGGCCCTCCTGCTGTCCCTCATCTCTGCCCCCCTTTTCTTCTGAAAATACCGTTGGTGTTAGTCCATTTGTGGGGCCAGTCAAGGGACACTTTGGGTTCAGACGTTGACCCCAGTACTTGCCAGGGATCCCTTCCTTCTCTTCCTTCTCTCTTGATTGACTCTCCCTCAATGATCTGTTGGCTGCTCTCTGCCTGGAGCTCTGTTGTTCTCTCACGGGCAGTCCTGGAGACTTAGAACCGGACCTTCCTCACATTGGCCAGAGCTGTGTCCCCAAGGGTGGAGGCACTCAGTGAGGACAGCAGCTGGGGCCCCAAGTGTCCTCAGCCCCATTGGGCCAGAGGGGCCGTGCTCCTCAACTCCGTCTCCTCTGCTCCCAGGCCCCCTTCCCAGACCAGTAGCCTTCCTGCCCCAGAGGGATCGATCAGGCGGCCAAAGCAGCCAGCCCTCAAGGTTGTGCCTCCTCCAGAGGCTGAGGGCGTAAGTGCCGGGTTTCCCTGGTGAGTCTGCTGGGCAGGACATCCAGTGGCTGCCGTGGAGGGGCAGAGAGTCTTCCAGTGCTCCCACATTTGATCACCAGGCCGCCATGAGCGCATCCCTTTTGCTCCTTTGGCTGCTGTTGGCTCGCTGGTGCCGAGTGCCTCCCTCCTGGTGCTTGGACGGGCAGAGTCTGGGAGGGAGGTTGGCATCCACACCCGGGAGCCCGCGGTCACTCAGAAGCCTTCTCTGACTCCACCCTGGGGTCCTCGGGCTTCTGGGCATGGCCCTCTCCTAGGGGAGTTTTAGTGTGGGGAAAAGGAAGAAAGGATGGCAATAGGTGGAAGGCTCCTTCCCCACAAGGAGATTCCTCCAGAATTCAGGTCAGAGGCCCGTCCCAGGCTGTGCTGGCTGCTCTCTAGGAGGCACTGTCAACCTTCGCCGGAGACACGGCACTCCCTGGAGCTTGGCTGCTGAGCTGCGCCATCTGACTCTGGAGCGCAGCAGCTTGGTTTTATCTGGTCATTTGTGAAAGAAAAAGCAGCAGCCGCTGACTCACAGACATGGGGGTTCAAGTAGGAAAAAAATGGAGGTTCTTAGGAGCCCTCGGGGTGGAGGCAGTTTTTGTTGTTCAGTCCCTTGTTTGTGTCCAGCTCTCTATGATCCTGTTTGGAGTTTGGTTTGCCATTTCCTTCTCCATGGGTCATTTGTCAGGCAATCAGAGGTTAAGTGACTTGTCCAGGGTCACAGAGACAGGACGTGTCTGAGGCTGGATTTGAACTTGGGTCTTCCTGTCTGCAGGCCCAGCACACTCTCCACTGAACCGCCAAAGTCAGGGGACCCTCTGAGTCACTTGAGTGTTCATATAATTGCATCATCTCAATTTGGAGGGACCCAAAGGTCATGCAGAGGAGATCTGCCTGGCGTAGGCCCTCCTTTTGCATCCTCCAGCACAAGGGCCTGCAGCCTCCTAGATCCCAAGGGATGGGAACCTTGCCAGAGTCGTCCTCTTTCCCTTTCACCCCTCTGGTCCTTGTAGTTTCTGGGTAAAATAGATTTTGGACCCTTGCTTTTGTGCAGGAATGAGCCAAGCAGAAAAATAACTGATGTGTGCACACATCCCCAGCCCTGCCTCTTCTTCCTCCGCCCCAGGGCCCTTCTCGTGGGTGCGTGGGCGTGCGGGCACGGGCAAGCGGGGCCTTGACGCAGCCATGGCAGGCTCCCTCCTGCGTCATCACCGGGGCCCCTGGCTTGGACAGCGGTATTCAGCCTGTGTCCTCTGGGGAGGGGTCCATCCAGTCCGTGGCTCTGAACAGCCTGACAGCCTGAGGGGATCCTCGGGAGAGGAGGCAGGCCCCGAGGGGGCCGGGCTGGCTCCGGGCCTGATAGCATCCTCTTTTCAGCTCTGCAGGAGATGCTGCACAACCACTCCTTTGTTGGCTGTGTGACCCCACAGTGGGCCTTGGCCCAGCACCAGACCAAGCTGTACCTTCTGAACACCACAAAACTCAGGTAATCCCGTGGGTAAACTAAAAACCACGGGGCATCGGGGTGTGGGTGGTGAGCACAAGGAAGAGCCAAGGTGTGGTGGGAAAAGAAGGCTGCCCAGACTGCGGAGCTCGTGGTGGGGAAGCTATGCCCGTTGATCATTGAAGTGGCTCGGAAGGAGGCCCTTCAGGGAACCCAGAAACTCTCCGTTTTAAAAAATGAGCCTGACGTTTGTCAGTAGGCATTTAAAACAATGATTTTAGAGGATTTTACTACGAGAATTCTGTTGATTTTGTTTGAACTGTTTGACCAGAAATCAGCTGTGCAGTGCCTTGCCCAGGGTCACACAGAGCACCACCGAGCTGACTTCTTGTCACAAAGACCCAGGCTTGGGGATGGCCTGCTTTGAAAGGCTTTGGTCAGCAGCGTCCACTAAACTGGAAAGACACAAGAAATGGTCTTCTGCCTGTGGACCAGCCTGGCTCCACCCAGAGAGGGCCATTTCTGCTGCAGGGCAGCAGAGGGGAGCCAGGGGCCTCACCCGACCTAGGATAGACGTGCCCTTTGGCAACATCAGCCACTCTACCCACCACGACTCCTCTCCAAATTCAGTGTGTGGGGGAAGGTGATGGCGCAGGGCTGCCAGAGGCCTGACCTATCAGTCCTGCAGGGGGCATGGTGCCTGTGCACTTGGGCATCACCTCCAGAGGAGTGGCAGGGGCTGTGGACCCACTGCGTGTGGTTTCTGCCTTAGCTTGAGGACTGAGGCACGGTCCAGCTGCCTTTTACAGGCTGCGGGAGTCCACGCTGAGGCGTGGTAGAACTGGGGCCCAGCCCCGTGCCACGCTTGACACCTGACTGAGGCCCCACCGAACCCAGCGCAGACCCTAGGAGGCGGATAAAAGTCTGCTCAGTGACCTGTGGAGCGTTTACAGAGTGCCTGCCATGCACCGGGCACTGTGCTAAGTGCTTTGTACAAAGACAATGGATCCTCACAACAGCTCTGGGAAGTAGATGCTGCATCATCCCCATCTTACAGTCGAGGAAAACTGAGGTGAAGTGACTTGCCCAAGGTCATGTAGCTAGTGTGTGTCTGAAGCTAGATTTGAACTCAGGTCTTCCTGACTCCAGGCCCAGTGCTCTATCTACTACACCACATCATGGAACGAATCCTACAGAGTCCAGACAAAAGAAGGATCTCTATTGATGATGAGAAATTATTTAAAATGCTCCACAGGCATTCCGGACATCTCTGAGTATTAGGGCTGCTAACTAGAGCTAGGAAAAACTTGGACTCAAATCCCAGCTCCAACATTTACTAACTGTTCCTTGAGCAGGCCTCTCTTTGCCTCAGTTTACTTATCTATAAAATGGATACACTGATACTAGAGTGCCTACTTCACCAGTGTTCTTGTGAGGAAGGTACTATATGAACCTTACAGTACAAATTCTGGTGCTCTGTGAGTGAGCAGTATTGTTCTGTTCTCTAGACATTCTTGACTCCCAAAGGACATCATCCTCACTTAAATCCACGGCAGTTTGAAAGAGACTGGTTTAGACATCCAGGCCAGAACAGCCAAGTGCTTGATAGGAAGTGCCGGAGCTGAGTCAGCACTGCCCAGGACACGTCCACGCTGAGTGGGCTGGGCGGCAGGCTCTGGAAGGCCTCTCTTCTGCTGCTGTTTGGCAGCTAGGACTCCCTGACGCAGGTGACAAGAGCAGAAGGATCTGCGTAGGAGGCAGTACAAGATCCCCTGGTGCCTTAGGTTGGCCAGGGTCCCAAGTGACACACAAGTCAGTGGCCCAAGAAGGGATTCCGTGAGGCCATGGGAAGAAAGGGACCAGGAGGAAAGACATGGACAAGTCAGAGGAAGAAGGCAGGAAGGGTTGCCGCCTCTGTCGTGTTCCAGGAGGGGGCCTTCATCTTCACCTGGGGCCTGATTCGTGGATAGATTCAGGAGGTCCGTGAACTTGGGGGTGAGGTAGGGGTGGAGAATAAACATTTATAGAGCACCTACTGCATGCCAGGCACTGTGCGAAGCACGTTACAAATATGATCTCGTGAGATCCTCATAACGGCCTTGCGAGGTTGAGGCTGGTATTGTCCCCATTTGGTAGGAGAGGAAATTTGAGGCAGATAGGGATTAAGTGACTTGCCCACAGTAACACAGCTATTAGGGTTCTGAGGCAAGATTTGAACTCAGGTTTTCCTAGCTCCAGGCCTTGCACTCTGTGCACTGTGTCACCGGCTGCCTTGATGGGAGAAAATGAAATCTTTATTTTCGCTAAACTTTAGTATTTCCTTCAATTAGTTAAAGGCATAATTTTGAGAAGGGGTCCATGGGCTTTACAAGATTGTCAAAGGGATCCATCCATATCAAGGAAAAGGGTAAGACCCCCGCCCCCGCCTTCGAGAAGCTGAGTGTTTGGCTTTCTCCTGTAGGGCAGCAAAGAGACAACCAGATGTTTTTGGTGATGGGAACTCCCAGGTGAGCACACTCCCTTCACCAATCCCAGGCAGCATCTTAGTGAGCTGTCCATAGCCCTGAGAGGCAAAAGTGACTGTCTGGGTTCACGTGGCCGGTGTGTGCCTGAGGAAAGGCTGGGGGCCGGCTGCCACCCACCACAGCACAGGAGTCATTGTCACACTCAGCTCCACTTTCCCTTAATACGCTTTTTTTCTCTCATTTCAGTGAAGAACTCTTCTACCAGATACTCATCTATGACTTTGCCAACTTTGGGGTGCTGAGATTATCGGTAAGGCGCTTCCCTGTTGGGACTTTCTCTTTTAACTCAATTCAGTTCAACAAATATCCTTTTGATTTTGGGAGCAAACTGCTCTGCATGTATTTTATCTGTTTTGTTGAGCATTCCCCAGTATGCACCAAGGCTAGTTACTTTTCCATTATGTGACTTCCAAGGATCATGGCGGCGGTTTAAACATGACAATATGGAAACCCTAGGAACTCCATGGAGTCCTTAAGACCAAAAAGAGAGAGAGAGAGAACAGTGGATTCCATCCCCCTTGTGAAAACTGTGCAGTTTTGCATTGACTCTGCCAGACACTCACAGAGTGAGCAGGCAGATTGAAGGAGGAACCCTGCAGCCAGCACTCTGTCCCTGGGGCAGGCGGCAGGAGGGACAGCACATGTGAGCGCTCTCGCACACGTCCTCCACCAGCCCCTTCACCAGAACAGCTGACTGGTGATTAATCAGCTTAAATCTTAGCCCGACTTCCTGTGACCAAACAAGACAGAGAAGATCACAAAGGATAGAATGATGCACAACTGAAAAGGTTTTGCACAGACAAAACCAGTGCAGCTAAAATTAGAAGAGAAACCTTTTAACTGGGAGGAATAAAGTGTTTTCTCATAAGACTAAGGTCTGTAAGGTAGACATTGAAAGTCATCAGAATAAGAGTTATTCCCTCACTGATAAATAGTCAAAGGATAGGAACAGCTAGTTCTCAGGAGGGCGGCCGAGCTCTCAACAGCTGTATCTAAGAGTGCTCCAAACCCCTGATGGAGGAGGTTCCCCCTTGCGTGCACCTGATTGGCAGAGGTGGCTGGTGGGCAGGTGGACCTGACATGTTGCTGTTGTGGGAGCTTGCCTCTGCTACCTCAGATGGGGGCCCCTCCTCCCCCTAAGGGCCAGGGCAGCAGGCATTGCTGCTGACCACACGTGGTAGGTCCAGTGCACTCCACCTGGTGATGATGCCGCCATGTTTTTGCCTTGCCAGGAGCCGGCGCCCCTGTACGACCTGGCCATGCTTGCCTTAGACCATCCAGAGAGCAGCTGGATGGAGGAAGATGGCCCCAAAGAAGGACTCGCAGACTACATCGTTGAGTTCCTGAAGAAAAAGGCCAAGATGCTGGCAGACTATTTCTCCCTGGAAATCGATGAGGTGCTGCCTTTGCTTGCTTCCCATGTTCTTGGATATGAGGGCATGTTTTTGCACAAAGGACTGAAGATATCAGGACTTAAACAGAACCAGAAATGAGAATCTTCCTCATTTGCTTTTCCAAATGACCTAGCCAGCAGGTTCCTTTAATTATGGCCAGACTCTATCAGGGCGGGAGGAGGCCCCAGAGGGAGCTAACATGGCGCCCACACCCAGCTTCCCTGAAGCAAACTACTAGGTCAAAGGAAGGGCCCCTGAAGCCCACTGAGGAAGGAGGCTCACCGGTGTCCTGCAGGCCTCAGCACCTCTTCCATCTGGCCTCTGTGACTCATCTGGAGGAGTGATTTGTGTGTTTTAGTTGGGAATGGATAAAGAGGGTGGACATCGTCAAGGCAGCCCTCCTCCGTGCCTGAAATAGGCCTGTTAGAGAAGCGCATCCTCCCTTACAAAGTGTGGCCACTGCCTAGGCAGGGACTAGAGAAAACTGCTGAGATACGGGAGTCTTGGCACCATGTCCGGCCAAGCCCCAGAGGGTTATGTTCAACCCTGTCTGAGGGTGCCCTTGCAGGGGCGTGGCAATAGGGTGGTTTTGGTGGGATTTTCTTATACCTCTGTGTCTCCCTGACAGGACGGAAACCTGATCGGATTGCCTCTTCTGATCGACAACTACGTCCCCCGACTAGAGGGGCTTCCCATGTTCATTCTTCGACTGGCTACTGAGGTATGCTTCTGTTGTTGGGCCAAATCCAGGCAGGAGCAAGAGGGGAGAAGAAAGCCTTTGAGTTGGCCGTGGGAGGAATCCGGCCTGCCCCGGGGAAATGGGGCTGGGAGGGAAGAGGAGCAGGACCCCCAGAGCCCTGACCTGGAAGAGTAAAAGCCAAGTGCAGAAGGCTCCTCCAGGAAGGTCTCTGAGAGGCGGCCCCAGGGCGTGGTTAGACATGGTCTGAGAAGTGTGGCCAGAGCCAGGGAGGCTGGGAAGGGCCCGGGCTGGGCCGGCATGGATCTGAGTCCTGGAGGAAAGCCCAGATCAGAGGGAGGGTCAGGGCAGAAGTGCTGGTTGGGGCTGCAGCTCCCAGCTGCCCGACAGCAACTTTCCCTGTTCTGCATTTGTTTGGAGTCTCTTTAAACTCACACGGCCATGTTTTGATCAGTCCCCAGTTGCTCCCAATTAGCTTCTCTCTGTCTCTCTCTGACAGGTAAACTGGGATGAAGAAAAGGAATGTTTTCAAAGCCTCAGTAAAGAGTGTGCCATGTTTTACTCCCTCAGGAAGCAGTACGTAGTGGAGGAGTCCACTCTCTCTGGCCAAGAGGTCAGTGATCCCTCCCTTGACTCCAGAGTGACCAGGTGCCCCTGCTCTGGTACCAAGGGGCAGTGTGTAATGCACAGGAATCTGGGGCTTCTTCCTTAACTTGAGCTCTTCTCGTGATTCTAAGTGCAGCTTCCGAGAGCGTTAGCCACAGTGAACCTGACCTTTTAGCATGAGGAATGGGGGTGCGTTTATGGGGTTCAGATGGAAGCAGGCTTCTTAGAGGCTTTCTCCATTCATGAAGCTGCTCCGTGTACATCCAGAACCCACGGGCCCAGGGTCATTCTGGGAATTTGTCCAGTCCTCTGAAAAGCAGCAGTAACCAGCCACCGAAGGCCAGGCAGCCAAGACAAGCCTGTGGCTCTGGTCAGAAGGTTGACCAAATTTGGGGATAAAGAAAAGCCAGGCTCTTTGAGGATGATGGGTTGGAAGAAGCCAAAGTAGATTTTGCTGTTTCTTCTTCAATCTTATCAGTGTGCTTTATTGCAATCCAGAGAAGGTAAAGCCCATATAGCTGGTGATTCCCCAGGGAAGAGGAGGCAATGCAGATGTTGCCCATAGCGATGTCGGAGCTTCTTGGTTTTCTCGCAGACACAGGCAGGTTGCCACATTCTCCTTGGCTCACAGTTTTTCTAGGGAAAAAGTAATTTTTGTTTCTCTGATCCTGAAAAGTGCTTTTACTCTGTCTGTGTTGAAGTAGTCAGAGATAATTGAGGATAAGTACTAGTCATTCAGAAGGAGCTTCAGTTCTAAGGCAGTGGGGCAGGACACAGGAATGTGAGGATCTCAGTGCAACAGAACATGGGCTGCGGTGGGTCACGGGCAGGAGCTTCTACAGGGAGAAAGGAGGCCCACCCAGAGCTCTCGTGACCCAGTGGGATCCTCTTCTCGAAGCTAGCTTCAGTGTTGGGTCACTTCAGGGCCCCTCAGGACTCACCAGCTTGTGTCCAAGTGCTTGCTTCATTCCCCAGCATAGTCATTGCCAGACATGGTCGCCCCCATCAGCTGCAGAAGGGCTTGGGAGCTGGGGAGAGGGCGCCTGTCAGTCTTGCAAGGTTAAGACAGGGCGATTTATTTTTTAGAAACCTTCCCGTCCCTGCAGGCTGTGGGTGTTGCTGGTGACTGGGTGGGTGGTATACATGCCCATGGGGACGCTGGGCTGGAAAAGCGTCAGGGCATCCAGCCTGCCCGTCTTTGGTGTGTGCCAGGCCAGGGGTGGGAGCCCACTCAGTCACATACAATCTCTTTTTTCAGAGTGAAGAGTGTGAATCCGCTTCAGTCTCCTGGAAGTGGATAGTGGAGCACGTGCTCTACAAAGCCTTCCGTTCACACCTCTTACCTCCTCAACGTTTCTCCGAGGATGGGAGCATCCTGCAGCTCGCCAATCTGCCAGATCTCTATAAAGTGTTTGAGAGGTGCTGAAGAGTGTCACTTGGAAATAGCTTAGGAGCACCCACCCAGCCCCTGCGGTAACTGGGCAGCAACCTCAGAATCGAGGCGCAGTTAAATGCTGGTTACTTCAACAGGTTACCCTTTCCTGTCCCCCCACAGAGCAGCCCAAATGCCAGAAATAAATTGTTGTTCAGTATCTGTGGTTCAGCTCAATCCAGGAGACGCTCCGCCGGCCCTGCACTGCGCCGGCGGATACTGAGGATGTGGTGTACACCCAGACGAGCCGTGCCATGGGAAGCCCCTTCGCCAGAGAGGGCAGGAAAGCCAGACCTCTGGCGGGGTGGGTTGGGGATGAGAAGGGGAGTATATTGTGACACCGTGGTCCTCCCCACTTGGCAGAGTCAGCCTCATCCACTGTCAAGTGCTGGCCAGGGCGGGGGAAGGTGGTGAGGAGGGCCTCTGGTCTCAGCTCGACCGTTACGCTTTTCTCTAAAGATGATGAGAACATCACTAAAGGTGGCTCCTGTAGAAGAGAACAATGAGGGATTCCTGGCTGGAATCCTAGAAAATATGGGGGATTTTTACGTCTGGGGCGCAGAGCTGATGAAGCTCTCTCTCTCCGCCTCCAGTTGGTTCAGCTGCTTTTCAAAAGCATTCAGTTGGATAAGCATTTATTAAGCCCCTGTTTGGGGTCAGGCCCTGCAGTTAAATGCTGTGGCCCCCCAGAAGCTTGGAGTCTGATGGGGAGTAGAGCATGTGTGTGATAAGTATGATACAAGTGATGCCCAGAGGAAAGAGCCCTCCATGGCTTTGGGTTCCTAAGTTCGTGGCTTAGTGCCACAGGCAGACCACGAAGGATGTTTTCCACTGGCTCATACCTCCACTTTGGAATTTTATTTTGGAGAAATCTCCAAATTTTGTACCTTGTGTCATCATTTCCCCAGATGTGGATAATATTAACCCAAGGTGGGGTAAAGATGGGTGGAGGAAGGAACAAGCTATTTGTTATCAGAGTAGACTGTGGACCACCTGGACAGAAGGAAGAAATAGATAAGATGTTCAGAAAACACTGTAAGCCTACTACAAATGATACAGAAGTGATGGGGGACTTCAGTCATCCAGAAGTGACAAAAGTGGAGTAAAGAAACTTCTGCACTAGACTTAGTGACGACTTTAATTCTTAAAAAGGCAGAGGAACCAACAAGGGTAAATTCTGTTCTGTATCTGATTTTCACTAGTAGAACTGGTTTCCAGGGTGGAAATGACAGAACTCTGGCTTCCTAGAGTTAGGAGGAGAGGAGAGAAAAAGCAGGATGTAGGTGTGCACCCTGACATTGGGGACGTAGCATCTCATGAGCCAGAATCCCCCAGGGGCCACTGTCTGAGGAGGAAGAGGGGGCTCAAGAATGAGGGACCAGAGGGGAAACAGGAAAAAGCTGCACAGAAATTCAGACGACCAGTGCAGCTCTTAAAAAGGTGCAGAAGCCTTTTCATAGCTGCGAAGACCTGCCAGCTAAGGGGTGCCCATCAGTTGGGGAGAGCTCAGTTCATGGCAGTCTGAGTGTGATGGGATCTCATTGGGACCTGGGAATGCCTGTATTGTCTGAAGCAGAGCGAAGCCCCAGACCAGGAGCCCTTCCCAACTTGGCAGGCTCACGTACCCAGGACCTAGCTCCCTCAGCCTGTTGGTAGCTTCCTCCCACCTGACTGCAACGTAGTGCCGCGTCCTCTGAGATCCATCCATCTGCTGTTTCCTTGCACAGAGCTGGTGATTGACAGGCCTTCTCCATTCCTGTGAGGTCCTGGAGGACAGGGATTGTTTCTGTCCTTCTTTGCATCCTCAGTGCTTGCCTGGCACATAGTAGGGCTTCAGTGAATGATTATTGACTGCCTGGAGCAGGATTCCCCCCCTCTCGAAGCTCCACCTTTGAAGTGAATCTTCCCACGTTAAATCTCAGCTACTCTCTGATCTCGGTACCCTCATGCCAACAATTGCTGTGGTACAGTCTCCCCAACTTGAGTCTCTCCCTCTGGTCAGTGCTGCCTCCGCTGCCCAAGTAGGGCCTCGTGACTCCCTCTTGGACCTAGGCTAAAATGCCAGCTCACTTAGAGTCTTTTTGAAAGCCCTTCTTGATGTGGCCCCAATCTGTCTCCCCAGCCACACTGATTGGCCTTGTCTCCCTCTGCTCCATTTCCCATAGTGCCCCAAGGGCTGTCCCTCCTATGGCCCTTCTTTAAGATGCAGCTCAGGCACCGTCTTTTGCATGAAATCTCCCCTGATCCCCCCCAATGCTGGCAGTCTCCCCAAACTGCTTCCATATCACTACTCGCCATTCACTGTTTCCTCTTTGTCCATGTGCTTGTCTCCCTGCCCCCGCTCCTGCTAAGCTCCTCCTGCCCAGGGATTGATTCCTTCTTGGTCCTGCATCCCCAGCACCTGGACCAGAACAGGGGTGTAATAAGCAGCTGATTGATCTTTTGTCCCTGCTTTTGTGATCTCAGCATTATGCCACATGGCTCCCTCTTGGTCTAGGACCAAATGCAAGTGCTGAGGCCCTTCCCAGCATGGCTCCAGCCAACCTCTCCAGTCCACTGGACAGAATTCCCCTTTACTCACTTTATACTCCGGCCTTTCCTCACATTCAATACTCCCTCCCAAAGGCATTTCCCTGCCCTGTCCCCTCCTGAAATTCGCCTCCTCCTTTTCACCTTTTAGAATTCTTTATTGCCTTCAAAGCTCAGCTTATGCCCCACTTCCATGAAGACTTTCCTGAATGCCCCCTCACCCTAACAACCGATACCTCTCCCCCAAAATTACCTTGTATACGCTTATATCCTTGCACGTTGACTGACTTCGCCAGCAAAGTCCATAATTCAGCTCGAACATCCATGTCTGGAAGCCATGTCTGTTCTCCCCAGCTGCAGGACCCTTTCCTCTAGTTACCTTGGACCATGCACAGTGAGTTGCATGTACCTGTTTGTGTCAAGGCCATGTCCACCGATGATAGAGTGTAAACTGAGGGGAGGGGCTACTTGTATCCCTAGTATGCCCTTAACAAATGGTGGTTGTCAGATGCATTCATTGAAGTTACAAAGAGGCACATCTGGGCTTCACGACATAAGTAGAAAGAGTCCCTGCCCTCATTGCCTATCTTCAAAGAGGGGCTGGATGACCTTGGATGTTGGCTTTGTTGGAATGGGGACCCTTTGGGAGGAGACAAAGGTGCCTTCATCTACTTCACAGATGGAGTGCATCTCATTCTCCATTCTCACCGGGGAAGGCAGTCCTCCCTTCTCTTTGCAAATCTAACCTCTTCTTAGGGGTCCACTTACATCACCAATATCTGCTAGCTTTCATATTTGAAAACCCCTCCTAAAGCCTTACTGAATGCTTTTCTCACACTGTTGCTAGCAGAAAGATAGTGCGAGATTGTGTGTTGGGTTTGTTGAGGGATGGGGACATGGGGAAGGACAAGTTCTGGACCTGTGATTTCATTGTAGAGTTCTCAGTGAGGGAGTCAATGGAAATGCCAATGGAGACAGGCATCTATTCAGCAAATGCTTTGTGGGCCAAGTATGGGCCTCCTATTAGATGGAGTAACTGAGGCTTGGAAATCATCCACTTTGCACATTAGCTCTCTCCAAGGTTCCCAAAGATCTCAACTGCTAAGTACTGTATGGCCTTTTCAGTCTATCCTTTTTGGCCTCTCTCCAGCCTTTAGCATTGTTGACCATCCCATCCTTTGGGCTTTCCTCCTGCCTGAGGTCTCCTTGGTCTACTCTGCTGGTTTCTCTTCCCACCTGCTAACCACGGATTCTCCTCTCTATAGGCTTTCTCTTCTTGATCTCATCAGCTCCTTTGTCTCTGAAGGTGACTAACTGGCTTTATCTCCCTTCTGGCACATTGCAAACTGCCCGCCCACCATCTTTTCCTGGTTGTCCCAAAGACTCCTGAAACTCAACATTTTCTAAACAGATTCCCTTCTTTCCCCACAAAAGCATCCCTCCACCAGACTTACCAGTTCCCATAGATGGTATCACCACCTTTCTAGCTTCCCAGGTTGACAACTTTGGCCTCTTCTCTTTCCCTCAACCCCATAAATCTGGTTACTTCTGCCTCCACAGCTCCTCCTTACCTCCACTCACACAGCCCTCTCCCTAACGTATCATCACCTGGGTATCTGTAATAGCATCCAAGTTGATCTCCCTGCCTCCAGCCTCATCCCTCTTCAATCTGTCCTCCACACAGCAGCCAAACTGCCCTTAAAACTCAAACTTGACCATATTTCTTATGTAAATGTCTTCAGTGACTCCTCTCTAAGCATATTAAAAGCTCAGTGGCCAACTGGCTCACACTCGATTTCTAGCTAGAAGAGCCTGCTAGCTCTTCCCCATACACATCCTGGAAATTACATTGTATTTCCTAACTTGTATACATGTTCAGTCAGCCCATTAGATTGTAAGTTCCTTGAGGGAAGGGATAATTTTTGTCATTTTTCCCCATGTCTATCACACAGTAGATGATTTGGAGAAAAAGGATTTCCTGAATTGTAGGTCTTAAGTGACTTCAGCCGGCTGGTGTATCTCACAAGGGAGAGGCTCACTATCTCCCAGGGCTATGGACTGGGGTTACAGAGGAAAGCAGTACTGATGAAGCATCTACTGTGTGCCAGGCACTGTGCTAAGGCCTTCTCATGTACTAGCTCAGTCGGTCTTCACAAGAACCCCGAGAGGAAAAGGGCTGTAATTATTCCCATTTTACAGATGAGGCAGACAGAGGCAAAGTGACTTGCCCTAGGTTCTATAGCTAGAAAGTGCCTGAGGCTGAATTTGAACTCAGGCCCAGCCCTCTGTGCATGCTTTCTGTTGGCACACAACAGAAAACCAGGGCATCCCCACCTTCTTCTTTGATTCACATACTCACAAAGAAAAATCCCAACCCCACATGCTAAAAATGGCCAATTCCACAGGTGGTTTTTGCCTCCCTGGTCTCTCCACGGCAAGGTGCAGAGGAATAAAGCAGAGGATGGTGTGCATGTGCATGTGCTTGTGTGGGAGTGTGGGGAGGGAGATTTCTGGGGAGAAATGATACAGGAGGCGGAGCTCCAGGCAAGCACAGTAGACCCGATGTCACCTGAGCACAGACCACAAGCCTGGGGCCATGCCTCTGGACAGCCGACTGAGAGAGTTCTCTCT